GAAGCAGAACTATACATATTTTCAATAAATATTAAAAACAATCATCATTGTATAAACTACTGTAAACTCATAAATCATTAAAAATATCCCCTGGGCCGACAAGTCAAAACCATGACAGGTAATTTATTAGCATTGGCAGATTACCACTTGTCCCAGTATGTGGTAAAATCATATATCTATGTTAGAAACACATCATGCATACTAAATATAATGTTTGGAATGCATTGAAAACAATGTAATAGTAGGCACAATAGAGGGGAACTCGCTATATACTTCTGTTAAAGGGGAACATTACTTATCTGGAAAGTATGCGGCTAAATAAAACATTGAAATGAGATGCTCATTTTCTTTTAAAGTTATACTAAAAATGTAGAAAATGACAACACAATTTAGTTCAGACAAGACAAAACCAGGGAATGAGAAATAAAAAAGTTGTTTTGATTTTTAAACTTCATGCTTTTTCTATGATGACTGACTGAAGCAAAAGCGATTGACTGGGAGCTAAGATGGAGGTGCCCATTTCATGATAAAGAGATGAGGATGTCTATATTTGATTTTATTTTTTCACATCTCACAAATACAAACTTGCGTCATATATATGAGATAAGGAAACATAATATTAAAATTCATGGGCACAAATGTTTTGCTGCCCTTTAGAAGAGAGCAAGGGACATGTACATGAGGTAGAGGTTCCTAAAGAGATGGGTTTTAAGCCACTTTTATAATGATTGAAGACTAGGGGAGAGCTTGATGGTCATAGGCAGGCTATTCCAAAGGAAAATAGAAACAGTAGTAAAAGGTCAGCATTGATAGAACAAACTGGAAAAAGTGAAATTAAGACAGCTTTCCTCCAAAAGGAAGGGAATCCCTCTATCCCTATGGTAGTGAAGCAAGTACAAAATATAAAAAAGTGTAGAGGATTAGTGTCACTCTAAAAAGACACTGGTGAGAATATTATAACCAACATAAGATGCCTTAAATAGGTCTACAATAGATAGATTCACTTAAAAAATGGGCAAGAATAAGAGACCTAAAATACAAATAAATATAAAATAAGATAAATAGAATAATAAAAAATAAAATATAAATAATTGAATATATGTCTAAGATATATTATATAAAGTATATACTTTCCAGAGAAGCAATCACGAACTTGTTCGAGGAAAATTTTCTTGTTGGGATATCAGATGCGGTCCGTATGTGGAAAGAACGAGAGGATAATGGTGCAGTATGTCCAGAAAATATAAAAATAAGAATAAAAGTCTACATGGTGTTACTCACATTTATTAGAGCTTTAAACCAGCTCTAGTATGAAAGGTGTACAGTGGTACAATCCCCACTTATAAGATACGCGAAGAATGGCTTCAATGATGTGTGGACCAAAAAATAAAAATAAACAACAATAGTGCTCACTGTATAAAATCAACCAGATGAATAAATAAGAGAATATTACTCACATTTGCAAGAGCAGACAAAATGCTCTATGGATAGGACGCGGGTGGAATAATCCCCAGCTAAGGACTTCTTGAGTAGTTCTTGCTGGGAGTAAAATCAGGATACCAGGCAATAAAATAATAAAAGAATAATAATGGAGTAAAAAGAGTACAAATATAGACTTGAAGAAACCCTTGTAGCGAAACGCGTTGTGGACTTTTAATTTGTTTTACTACTATTTTAATAAAAGTATTTTGGCTACTTTTACATTGAGTGTGCCATTTTACTCTTTTTACTCTGTTATTATTCTTTTATTAGCGGGCGAGAGGAAAGGAGAAGCGCAGCCACCTCTGATCAGTAGCCTGGGAGAAAGTCTGAAGGGTAGGAAAGGCATGATCCAGCTATGGCTGAGAAATAGAGGGGCAAGGTGGTGAGAATTATTTCCTTAGCTGTTCAATCTTGTCAGTAAAGTAACATGCAAAGCTATCGTCTGTAAAGTTAGTTTGGGGGATGGCAACAGAAGGGAGTTAAAGGTATTAAAAAGACACTGGGGATTGTGGAAGCATGAGCTAATAAGGGAGAAAAAGTATGGCTATTTGGCAAAGGCAAGGGCTGTGCTGTATGATCGCAACATGAATTTGTAGTGGAGGAAGTCCAACTGGCTGCGTTACTTCATCCAGCAGCCTTTAGTAGAACGGGAGCATCTCTGCAGGTAGCGTGTTGATTTAGTGTGTCACGGTTGGGGGTGTGTTCTCCTCAAAGTGCATGTTTGGAGCAGGGCTGAAACGTTCAGGGCAGAGATGAGGGTAGTGTTATATGAGGAGATAGCCAGTGAGGGACAGGTGAAAGTAATGATGGATAGAAGTTGGGAATAAATATTAGCTGATAGCTGCTGGAGGTCAATATAATTCATATATGTACATATATATATATATATATATATATATATATATATATTTAAATACAGTGACATAAGAGGTTACTCAAGTATGATGTGATGAAACATGTCTGGGCAGTAAAGTTACATGGGTATACACATTATAGTAAAGCTATACAATGTAGGAGAAAGGAAGTGGGTATATTAATATGTTAAACCTGAATTAAAGCTTAGTATTATGGAAATTGTGTATATTTACATGGATAAAAATGGAACACTTATGGTTCTGTATGTGAAATAAAAGATGCAAATGCTAATTTAAGGAATATGCTATGAGCCCTAAACATTAATACTGATGAAGAAACGTATCTGTTCTCACAAACTGAAAAAGCTGCATAATTTACATAAAATGTAAGGGTAATCAGGACATTGTTTTGAATTAGTTTTGCCCTATCTCAAAAACCTGATATTACATTATTGGTCGTGATCACAATAAGACAAAGTTCCAAGGAGATTATGAACAGTAATGTAGAAAGGGCACAACCTAGTCTGGACTATTGTGGATATCTAAAAGGAGTGGAATCAATGTCTGCCACAACATTTGAATTGGTGTTGTATTTATGAATCCCCAGTGAAAAGGTGAAGGTCACAAAAACGTATTGAATACTTCTTTCTATTCAAATAAAGAAGAGGGCTTGTGTATCATTGGCAAACCACAACATTTTGCATGCTCTTCTACTGTGTGTTGGATCCAGGTTAAACCCCACCTGGACTGAGTGATTAACATTGGCAGGATGAACATTAAGAAATTGTCGAGAACCTTAGCAAAGACTTTCAAATCATATCCTATCAAATCCACAATGAATAACATTTAGACATTTAGAAAAAGGGAGGAGCAGCAGCAGGGCTAATTTAATTGAAAATATTTTATAATTTATTATGAGGTGTGTGAACAAGGAGATGGCCACCAGCACTATCATCACATTTTACAAAGAGTTAAAAAAGACCCGCCACACTCAATGTAGGCAGAATTCACTTGTGCAGTAAATTACACCTGCACACTGTGTATATTACTGATGGAAGAAATGTGCAATTTTCAAAGCCCAAGCAGTGGCACAGAAGTACAGTGAAAATAACCCACCTCTACTAGAAATAAAATTATAAATGTTGCTTCATGCTAGTACTAGTGAAACGACACTTCACTCGCCCTCTACTCACTTCTTTGCGACTTCGTATGCACTTTGCTTTCTTCAAAGCACTCAAAATGATCCCAAACTTTGCTTCAATGGTACAATATATTAGCTCTCAGAAAAAAAGTTTAAATTATTAATTCCAAATTGGTGTTAAATATATATGTATATCTCTAATCCCACTAATAGGTTAGCAAGATTCCCAAAATAATCAGGTGTTGGGTGTTTCGAGGCATTCATCTCTCACTAAGTAACAATTTCCATAGTTTCATTTCTATTCCTTTTCCTCCACATCCCCATCTTTACTTTTTTCCTTTTTGTGCTCACCCCTACTCCCCAAAGCCTCAGTTCTAAGTCCTGGCTCCCCCAGTGGGATATAGAGCAGCACCATTAAATGTGTATTTACACAGTGTCAGAGGACTAACGGTATAAGGTCCTGGGTGCTTAGGGAACTACAGAGCCACCAGGTTCTGTGGCATTCCTTCAAGAGACACACTTCATAGCTGACAGTCCACGGCTTCAGAACCCATGGCAATACCTGAAAGGAAGAGATTTTATTTTTTAAATTTTTTTTTTGCAGTGCAATAGAGTGTTACAGACATGCTTGAGGTGCCCCAGCAGCATTCCTCAGGCTTTGATCTCACTTTACATGTGGAGCAAACGATGATCATGCACATTTTAATTTTAATATAAACAGGCATAGGTATACGTGTCATTAAAGCATCAAGATTAGTGAAAAAGAAAATAGGAGATAAACAGGCTATTCAAACTGATAATCTTATTTGTATAGACGCATTATGTAGTAACACAAGTTCTGGTACTGGTTGCCTATATATAATCAAGCTAAATGCAGCTGGTGGGTCCCTGCAGTGAGCACTGGTGTGTATATTAAGTATGCTTGTGGTGCCGGGAAGCAGTACCATGTAAATCTGGCTCTGTACCGGCTGATATTTGTAGCCACATGTTTGGCCCTCCCGTGTTGTAAGCTAGATTATTCCCATAGTAACGTGTTGAGTTGTGTGCAGGGTGCATGTGTTCTGGGGGAGGCTGTATGAGTGAGCCTGTGTAGTGTTACCTCTGAGATTCCCTCCTGGAGTGTCTCGGTATAGTGCAAGGTATGCCCCGCTGTAGGTAGGCTATTGGTAAATCTAGTTAACATAATATTCAACATAAAATTCAACATAAAATGAGGTTGCTACATGGGTACAGGAGGACCCAGCAGAGCACTCCGCTGCCGGTTGTGGCAAAAAATGTTGTGTCCTTTTGGCGTGCTTGGGGTTGCATGTCCTTGTCAGCCTATGCCTTGGCTCGGGACAATGGGTGAGCTTCCGGGTTTTAACTTGGCTATCCCCCATCCCCAGCTTGAAATCCCTGCTGTCGGGCTCGTCTGCTCACATGTGTGGGATGTTGGTGGACATTCTAGATGTGATCTGCTGCTTACGGCATGTCGGTTTCTCGCCCACGGTATTCAGGTGCTGTGTGGGTAGGCTTGCCGGCACCTCTTGTTGCTTGGGTTGATCTGTGGCTTGGAGAGGGTCTGCTGGTCGCGTTGGTTTGCTTGTTGGTGGGAAGCGGCGCCTGCCGCAATGCCATTTTCCAGCATGCTTCTTTTGATGAGGAGCTTTTTTTAAGGTGAGCGTGGGACGGCAATACCAGCAGTAAGTTTCCAGCCAGCTCACCCGCTGTGGCTTGTCGTGCCTTGATTTTTCTCCAGAAAACTTTGAATATTGCGTCTAGTCTCTTCAGAGTTTCTGACTCCGGTGCAGAATCTCGTGTAGTGGATGCGGTTGCGTCTGCCATTTTGGAGGTGAAAGGAAGAGATTTTACTCACTGCTTACCACTACATAATCTATTCTCTAGAATTGAAAATGTGTTTTTAGCATATGAAGCGCTGACCCACCTAATTACAGTCTCCATATTGCAGGCAACCTGGTCCAATGATGCCCCCATCTTTGGCAGCATTGCTTCCCGCTATTTAGGCTGGCAGAATGGACACTTAATGAGTAATTATACCAGGACATAGAGGTGAAAGCTGTGTCTTGAGAAACCCCTATTACTGTGAGAATGACAGATCGGACGCATCCCTTCTCAACCTATGGGAGGAACATTAAAGCAAAGTCAGAGGCTATTTTATCAAAACCTGTATGCACTTAAAGAAACAGAGAAACAGACAGGTATCAGAGTTACTAGCACTGGTAGCAGCGGTAGACACTTCCCATAATGACTCTCAGTTAGACAGTGGTTATAATAATAATAATAATAATAATAAATTGCGATTTTTATAGCGCTTTTCTCCCTGTGAGACTCAAAGCACTTTACAAGTATACAAACATAAAGACATAAAAGTTAGGAGTTTCTGAGGGTCAGCTGAGTGGACTGAATGCCTGATGGAAGAGGTGAGTCTTTAGCTTTTTTTAAAAAGTCTGTAAGGACGGCGCCTCTCTGATTGAGCACGGTAAAGAGTTCCAGATGGTTGGGGCAGCGTGGCTGAATGCCATGGAACCTGAGTCTGTATTTATTTATTCTTGGCACTGACAGGAAGGATTTGCTGGCTGACTGAAGTGAACAGGATGGAATGTCAGGAGCTCTTTCAGGTATTGTGGGCCTTTATTGGTCAAGGCTTTGGAGGTTAGCAGGCCAATTTTAAAATATTTTCGCCATTTGAGCCCTATGCAGGTAGTGGAGAACAGATGTTATGTGGCAGGAGCGAGTTTGATTGGTCAGTAGTCTAGCTGCTGCATTTTGTATAGTCTGAAGGTGATGGAGTTCTCTTTCTGGGAGGCCCAAGTAAAGTACATTGCAGTAATCTAGCCAAGAGGATACAAATGCATGGATTAATGTTGGCATATCTTCGGTGGAATTAAGTGTTGTATCCTGGCTATGCTTTTAGATGAAAGTAGGCAGATTTTATTATGGAGGAAATCTATTGTTTAAATGATAGTCCAGAGTAAATCAGCACTCCGAGGTTTCATACCTTTGATGAACTGATGAGTTCAGAGCCTTCAAGCTCCAGGCCAGTTGGGTGATCATGTGATATTTTTGTGCCCAGGGTCTCCTCACCAAGAGTAACTCTGTTTTGTCCAGGTTCACTTTAAGCCAACTAGCATTCATCCATTCTATGAGGTGTGCTAAGCAACTGTTCATGCGGCATGTTGGGTCTGTGGTATCTGGAGCAAAGGAGAAGTAGAGTTGTGTGTCATCAGCATATCAATGATACCTTAGGCCATGTCGCCTAATGATGTCCCCCAGTGGTAGCAAGTAAATTTCGAATAGCATGGGAGACAAGATGGATCTTTGTGAAACTACGCAGTCCAGTTCTGTTGGTGCCGATGAGCTTGATCTTGATGTTATTCTGTGATCTACCAGTGAGGAAAGATTTAAACCAGTTAAGGACTGTGCTTTCTAGACCACAGATGTGCAGCAAGCGCTCTATTAAAATCCTGTGGTCAATGGAGTCAAATGCAGCTGAGAGATCAAAGAGGATTAGGATGGAGTAATCAGCTTTGTGGGGATATTTATGGGATAATAATAGTAACAGTGAGAATTGCCCACTAATTCAATTCTCAGATCCCAAAGAACGTTTATTGTAAGTGAGAAGTATTTCATATAATAATATCACAATTTTGTTATAAAAATAGATTTTATTTATAATAACAAGTTAATTAATAATAATATAATATGTAACATGCGTGATAATAATCAATGAATATTCAGTATAAAATGATATGCAATACAAAGGAATGGGTATACACATTTCAATGGCTAAACAGCATTTTCTGTCAAGACTTTACACGATTTATGAGGTTTCCTTAACACAGAGAGAAAGCGAAACTTTTCACAGCGAAGGGCCGTAAAACCCTGGCTAACAGTTAGAATAACCCTTTCAATGCTGGCTAGACCTCCTAGGTCTATTCTTATGTAATTTCTTATGTAATTTTAAATAAAATAACATTTAAACCAGTTCATTAGTCATTTCCTGGAACCATCCAATAAGAATAATCTACCAGATTATATAAGCAGACTTTGTTTTTAATTTGTCTAAAAGATATCTTATCTTAATTTAGAGCAAATCAATACACCTGGATAAAAACAACGGTATGCTAACACGTGATAATATCACATCAATATATAATTATTCTTAATTCCACCTGCAGAATGGAATGTTTATAACTATATATTCTTTAGTTAACTAAGATTTCTTAATATGGAAATCTGACCGTGTTTATCCAGTCATATATAATGCTATTAATAAATTTTAATTAATTTAATTAATTAAATGAAACCAGTATAATTACCAGTTGAGTAGATATTTCATCCGATTGGTAGATAGTCTCAGGAACTTATTTGGATGTCTGTAGGTGCATGAGTTATGGTGAAAGGTGGTGTTGGTTAGAAAGTCAATAAAATTCTAAGTGTTAGAGTTTTAAGAGTAGAGTGTTAGTCTCAGATGTTGTGAGTTGGAGTCCCCAACTTCCAATTCCTCTCTCCTCTTTTTCTTTCTCCTTTGCAACCCCCTGTCTTCCCTTTGTCTTAACTTTTAAAGGGCCAGACTCTCTGTACGTCATCAGTTGATAACCCAATAGAAGCACTAGAGGTGTGGTTATCTTCCAGATCGCAAATTAGTTATTTGGTCTATAGAGGGCAGTCTTGTCCCACTAAACATACCTATCCAGGAAAGAGTTAACTTTTCCTGGTGGCTATTTTGACGTCATTTTGGCCTATCTTTATAGTGCCATAACTCCTTTCAGATCAAACAGTTTCTTTAAGTTTTGTCCAGACTTAGTGTCTGCAATTCCTGCTATAATTTCTGATATGGCAGATCATGAACTAAGTTTACCCTTTTCCATACAATGGTACCTTATATATATATAGACAGTAAAATTAAATTATTTAATCTTCTCTGTCACAAATGTCTGGGTTTAGAATTGATTATATTCCATTAGCATTTTAGACAGTATATCCAACCCCCTTTTCCTTATCACTTGGTTTGTATATACTATGCATTCCTTTAGTTCTGGGAAAGTGGTTAGTTTTACAGAAAGAAATCTTGTGTCTTTTTGTTAGCTTGAAAATAACAAAATGGAGTCTGGTCTGTTCAGAGTGACTCAGAATATACACTTTTAGTTTCTATCATTGCACAAGATGTCTGCCGATATAAATACCCTGACAGCTTTGTCACTCGCCATAAGGAGATCATTTAGCACTCGGACTAGCACTGTTTCAGTGCTGTGGTGGCATCTGAAACCTGACTGGATAGGATCAAAGATGTTCAAGCTTGATAGATGGGCTCCCAGGTGAGTTGCTACTACTTTTTCAATTATTTTACCCAGAAATGGAAGGTTGGTCTGTAATTAGCCATGCAGTCTGGGTTTAATAAATGTTTCTTTAGGAGTGGTTTTATCACAGTTTCAATTATCTGGGAATTCTCCAGTTTTTAGTGAACACTGCACTATTTTTGTGGGGCCTGGGGTGTTTCAATGCATGCAGATATAAGCTGAGTTGGAGAAGGGTCTAAGTCATATGTAGTAAGGTGTAACTTTTGCATGGTTCTCTTAAGTACCTTTATATCCACATTTGTAAAAGTGGATCATAAACTGAGGCAATCTGGCATTCCATTGTAGTGGTTCTGGTGTGTAGCTGTTTGGTCTGCTGTGAAAGAGGCTCGGATTGAGGAAATCTTATCTTGAGAAGATCGCAAATGTTTCACACTTATCCTGAGAAAAGTTGGTGGGGATATGCATGCATGCTGGTTTGCAGAACCTTTCTACTGTGCAAAACAATTGTCTGGGTCTATTGTGGGAGAGTGCAATTTTGCGTGATAAAAATAAAGATTTTTTCTGAGTTATCTTGAATTGATATTCGTTTAGATATTTGGTAAGAGTGACTTTATCCTCTGGATCATGTGTCCTGTGCCACATTCTCTCTCGAGTCTGTTCTCTTCATTTTTCTGATGGTGCTCTCAAACCATGGTGCATTGTTGTGGGTTTTAAAGTGCTACAGAAAGCAAGACGTAAACTAAACACGTTTTTAGTACAGAACCATCTGCTAAACCTGTGTAAATCAACTTGCTTCTTCTTCGAGCCTTAACACAAATACAGCCACCTATTGGCCATATTAGTCGGATTTCCACATGTGTGGGCGGGAATGCGTTCCATCCAGAAAACATTCCTGCAGAGTTTCACTCGTATTACTCATCTCTCTACAAATTGCAGAGAACGCAAATAGCTTCACAAGAGGCCAAAACAGGAAAGATACATCAGTAGCTAGATAAATGTATGCCTAGGTCCCTGAGCACTCAGCTAGCCTCCAATTTACAGTATGAAATTAAAAGAGGAGTTATTAAATATCGCTATCAAGTCTATTCAAACTAATAGAGCCCTAGTTTCAGATGGCCTGTCCCTTCACTACTACAAAACATTCAGTAATATTCTATACCCACGAATGCTTTGAGGCTTTAACAACCCTAGTAATTGTCAGAGCTATGAGCCAATTTCTTGCAGATCTGAAGGTGTGCGTCAAGATCCTGGCATAGAGGGTGCGACTGGTGGTTCCACTTCTGGTCGGCTCACATCCGTCGGGATTTATCACCAGGAGGGGGGTTTGAAGGAAAATACTACCAGGGTTTTTCATGTGATCCACATGACTTGTAGGACCATCTGAAAACTCCTTCTCCTTACTACTGATGCAGACCAAGTGGATTTAAAATTTCTGATGGCCATGATGGAGCAGCTGGGTTTTGGCCCCCAGCCGTGGGTATGGATTTGATCCTTACATTCCATCCAGCTTGGATTTAACTTATTGAGGTCCTCTTGACCCTGGTATCCATATGTAATGGTAGTACAAGACAGGGCTGTCTTTTGTCCCCACTGCTTTTTGTCTTGTCCCTGGAGCCATTTTTGCAAGCCATTTGGCAGCATTGTGTAATTAGGGAATTTGAAGAGCAGAGAAAGAAATACAAGGTAGTGGCATATGCCAATTTTCACAGCAAGGGTGCATAATTTCTTATTGCACTATGGAATACTGTCTTTTAATCTAGTTTGTGCAGTGCATTAAGGACCTGCCGACCTGGCAGAGATGGTATTGTCAACGTCAAAAGGGGTTAAACCAACAAGGGTATGTGAGCGCTCCAAATAAAATATGACCACTAGAAAAATTACACTCCAAAGCAGCAGCTGTAAAATAAGATTAAAATGTACATATACACAAAATATTTATTCATATAAAAATAAACAAATCATAAGAACCATGAAAAAATCCTTATAAATCTAAATATAAAAAAGTTCATAAGGATATATCCAAACCAAAGTTCAAAGATACATAGTGTGGGGCCCCCAACACTAATATGGATTATGTATCAAAAGGAAAAAAATTTAAAAAGAGATTGTGCACATCAAATAATAAAACATCAAAAAAATGTGTCCAAAAATGAATATCAGACCTCAAACACATATATAGTTCATGGGGGAGGGAGCTCATAAACCCGCCAAACTACTAGGTAAAGGTGAGGGGTGCCGCAATGAATAGTCTCCTAGTGTTAAAAACCTAGGGATTAAACAAAAGCAACTTACCCTATTCACCCTACTTTCGTGTAAGGTGAAGGGAGCACGCCAACTCCCTACCACGAGACAAGATGTGTGGGACTGAATTCAACAGCTGCCGAAAATCCCTCCCGAACCGTAAATGAAGTCGGGTAGAAAATCAAAGGAGACGGAAAAACAGATCGTCTACGCGTTTCGTCCCCTATGAGGGACTTTATCAAGACAAAGATCTGTTGTCCACAGACTGGGTATATATACCCTATTCCTAAAGGAGTGGTCATTCAATTAAACAATAATAAAAATTAAGAGTCAATTTGTAGAAGGCGGATCGCCTAAGGTGTGCATTTATTTATAATTTTTATAGAATAAACATCCAAATAATATTATTAAATATAAATCATCAACCAATAGGCATTATCATTCTCTCTATTTAACAATTGTTTAGGGAGATAAAACGTATGAAATCAAACCTGTATGTAACAGTGTAACTTTTTGAGACTGTCTCTCATCTTTTTCATATTATAGAAATACTCATAGGCTGTAGTTCTTTATATTTCTATATATATGTAGACCTATGCACACATATGGGTGCATTCTTCCCCATCAGCTACAACACAGAGGACTCTTATATACAAGTAAAGAACTTAACAGCTTAAGTTTGTTTAATACAAGCCTCCCAAAGACTCTAAAAAATTATAAAAAATATATAAAAATAATATAAATCCTAATCAATAAATATAAAGATGCATAAAAGAACACATAATTCTGATAAATACCAATATATTACATATAAAAAGCTTTTTAGGGAAGTCACATAACATACAATCAAAGCTTATGTTCAATGAACACAAATTGAAACAATAAATAAATAAATGATCTAAATAAATAGGTTATACTTGAACAGGGGTGGAGGGGGGGAAAAAGGGGATAGGGACACACAGTAATGAATGCATCCCTCATATCCCTTGTGATCCATTCCCCACTGTTAAAGCAGAAGCATAAAAAATTAATCAAAAAGGAAAAACAAAATTAAGTAATGTGCTCCAATTCCTCATTTAACCCATACGGATTAAGAGTATTCAGTCGGAAAATCCACCTGGTCTCAGCTACAATAAGAGCTGTTTTTCTATTAACAATCTTCTCTGGGATATGTTCAATACCCATAACAGATATATATAAAGGATTGCTCTCATGGGCCATTTGGAAGTGTCTAGCTACCGGGGATTTTCTATCCTGTTTAATGATCGCTAGTCTGTGTTCTCTGAACCTAGTTTTCAATGACCTAGAAGTCTGGCCAACATAAAGCAATCCACACGAACACTTCAGTAAATAGACAACATATGGGGTGTTACAGGTAATCCTTGAGGTTACTTGGAAAGTCTCATTATTCAAAGAAGACGAGAAATCCAAACCTCCATGGTGTATATACTGGCATGTTAGACATCGCGTTGAACCGCATTTGAAATTCCCTACACCAAGGGCTGCCAATGTGTTATGGGATTCTGCTGAGGCAAGCTTAGATGGAGCTAACAAGTTCTTTAAATTTCTATTTTTCCTAAAGGTTATTCTTGGCGACCCAGCTAAACTAAATTTCAACCAGGGATCCAATAATAAAATAGACCAATGTTGGCATAGAATGGAGATAATCTGGTCATATGCCCTATTAAAGGTAGTGGTAAATATGGGACCCTTATTATGAGAAACATCCCTAGTACTGATGTTGAATTTATTCCGGGTGTTGGATCTTCTTTTAGGAGTTGAATTTTCCAAAAGGGATAATACTTCCATATGTTTAACTGATGGCACGGGAGATCTAGCTGGAGACTCCTGATCAATATAAGGCTCTATGAGTGAATTTCTCGAAATGTTTCTAGCCTTATGATATGCCTGATAAATGATGTTTGGATCATAGTCTTTATCCAGGAAACGTTGACATAATTCCAAAGATTCTTCTTCAAAGTCTTCCAAGAGAGAACAATTTCGGCGTAGTCTAATAAACTGACCAAACGGGATATTATTAATCCACGTTGGATGATGACCACTCGTTGAATGTAAAAAACCATTAACATCGACCGGTTTCTTAAAAGTTTTAGTGAGGACATGTCCAGGTTTCCCGCATAGGATCAAATCAAGGAACTCAATAGTTGTCTTATTTTTATTACTAGTAAAAGATAATCCCCATTCGTTGTTATTGAGATAATGGACAAAGTTATCAGTATCATCAAGATCACCCTTCCAAATAATCAAGATGTCGTCGATAAATCTTTTATAAAATACAAGATGTTCTCTCCATATAGGATGATTAAATATATGGATGGATTCCCACAGGCCCATAAAGATATTTGCATATGCTGGGGCAAAACTAGCCCCCATTGCGGTACCTTTTATTTGTAGGTAGAACTGCCCATTAAAACAAAAATAATTATGGGTTAAAATAAAGGATATACTTTCCAAAATTGCTTCCACTTGACACCGAGGGAGAAGGGGATCTTCCAAAAGGAAATGTTGAATAGCTTTCAAGCCCAACTTGTGGTCGATATTTGAATATAGGGCTGCCACATCCACGGTCAGCCAACAATAATTCTCCTGCCAGGAAATCTCCTGCATCAATGATAATACATGTCCCGTGTCTTTAATATACGAAGGAAGGTTGATCATAATTTTCTGAAGATGAATATCTACCCATTTTGATAAGGGTGCTGTAAGAGAACCAATAGATGAAATAATAGGTCTACCAGGTGGATTAGTGAGGGACTTATGGATCTTCGGAAGGAAGTAAAAGATGGGTATATTGTCTCCACCGGAGAGTAGAAAACCTTTTTCTGATTTATCAATAACCCCTATATCAAACATCTTATTCACCCAGGTTTTGAGATCCCTGGTGAATTGAGTAGTGGGATTAAAAGCGAGGGTTTTATAATAATTTGTATCTTCCAAAATCCGATATGCTTCCTTGAGGTAGTTCTCCCTATCAAGGAGAACAATCCCACCTCCCTTATCAGCCCCCTTGATAACGATGTTATGATCTTTCTTAAGGTCTTTCAGTGCTGCCCTTTCCAGATTCGTAAGGTTATATTCCAACTTCCAATTTCTTTGTTTGACATTTAGACTGGTGACTAAAGATCTAAAATCCTTCAACACTAGTTCATAGAAAATAGGTAGGAATCCTCCTTTATCTGCTACAGGATAATAAGTGGAAGGTGGTTTAAGACCTGTAGTTATACTAGCGTCTATAACCTCCAAAGCATCAATTGTGATCCCAGGCTCTGTTTGTTCATTAAGGAGACCTATCAAATTCTTAAGTATAATCTTATCTTGTGGTTCATTTAAAAAACCAGGACATTCAATTATACTATTGGCCTCCTTAATATTGAATGACCTGGTAAGGGTCAATTTCCTAATGAATTGATTAAGATCCCTAAATAAATCCAAGATATTGGGATTACTGGGGGGGGCAAAGTTCAAACCTTTGTTCAACAAGGAAATCTCTGAGGCTTTCAATATATGAGTAGACAAATTAAAGATTCCCACTAAGGGAGGCACCTCAATTTGTTGGGGTTCATTTCTCAAAGGGGTTAATCTGATTGTATGGAGGTTAAAAGTGGTTACATCTTTTGAAGCTTAGACCCCCCAGATGATAGAAGGGGTAGGCATATGAATGTGAAAAGGATTTTACCATGTGGATGTGAATTAATCAAGGGTCTGCAGGGTGTGAGATCCTACATGTTTAAAAGCTTGAATGTCTAGCTAGCTTCAGCCATTTGGCTGTACCTTGTGATTGATGAGTCAATCTCTGTGATATCTAATGACCATTAGTCTTGTTCCAGTAGCATATGCAAAGGAAGGAAAAAAACATTCATATTTACCCACAGAATAATAATTAATCCTCATGTTTGTTATATTTGGACTGTTTGGAAGCGCCATCTTCTAAACAAGCCCAAACATGAATGGCCTAACTTAATCACATGGGAAGGAATTGTGATCCTCGCCATATTTGGTCGCAAGTACGGCTTGCATCATATTTATAGAATGGGAAAATAACAAATTTGTAGATACAATTATTATTTCTGTGGCAGGTACATAAGAGAAGATAGAGCCAAATGTTTCCATTTGGATTGATGGGGGTCTTAGTGTCTCTATAGATACGCCTTAACTCGACCTCTGGGTCAGGAGTGGTAATCAACAAGGTATATCTCAAATGAAATTGAAGTATGACTGGTACTTGCTTGGGGCCAAGATCTAATTTTGAAGTAAGTCACCATCCTCTTTGCCAGCGACCCCCTGGGCAGAAGTTTTACTTTGAAAACCTGTGTAAGTGATTTAGGACTTCTGTTATTTGATCCCTAATCTTTTTGCTCATAATAAATATTCCTTTATTAAGTTTTGCCTCTGTCTGGTAAAAGAATCACGTTACCTGAAGAGACTAATTAGTATTTTGCAATCGCTTAGATATTGTGCTAAGTTGTATTTGGTAGGTTTTTATTATTGATTTACCTCGGGGACCAAGGCACGCCATTTATAAATTGTCTTGGTGGTGGCAGCGTTAAAATAGTAATAGTTATATTATTATGTTTAAGTGTGGGTGGATGTCAAGGGGGATTTTATCATTAATTCTGGTCTAGTGCAGACAAATAGTGAACGTTAATCCTTTCACCACCACAAGTACCTCATGCACACTCTTAAAATACTGTGCATTCGTGACACCAATGATCTTCTGTTTTTTGGGACACAATACTGGATTTCACTGCTGAACATTCTGGCGCCGTTTGGACAGTTCTCAAGTTTTAGACTGAACGTAGATAAATCTGAGGTTCTGGAGCTATGACTCCCCTGAACTGGAGTCCATTTCCTTACAGGAACATTTCTCTCCCTAAATTCAAATCAATTTCCCCCTGCTCCTCCAAACATTGCATAGCGATATAGCCTAGTGGCGAGTATATTTCATGGTGTGGGATAATGAACACTCTCAAAATGTATTGCCCAGGATCCTCTACCTTCTTCAGACTTTACTGTTCATGACAGGCAATTTGTGCCTTTAAAGACTACACCCTGTTCCAAATTATTATGCAAATGATATTTTTCTCATTTACCTAAATAATTGATGTAAATAACAGTCAGCATAATTCTCATGTTATCAACTATTAAGAGTACAATTCAGATTTTATTGAACAAACCTCCTAATGATAACAGTATTTTTTTTAAACATAAAAAACTTACAATGCACTGTTCCAAATTATTACGCACAGTAAGTTTCAAAACACTTTATAGGTTCTAAAGAACTGAAAATTATCATTTGTTGTATTTGCAGCATATTTACTGAAATCAAAAGCTATTTCAATCAAACTTATAACAACATTTTAACTTTTTAAACATTTTAACAGGCCACTTTACATTTTAACATAGGATCCCTTACTTGATAGCAGCTTCACAAGTCTTGCATCCATTGAACTTGTGAGTTTTTGGACAGTTTCTGCTTGAATTTGTTTGCAAGATGTCAGAATAGACTCCCAGAGCTGCTGTTTGGATGTAAACTGCCTCCCACCCTCATAGATCTTTTGCTTGAGGATGCTCCAAAGGTTATCAATCGGATTGAGGTCAGGGGAGGATGGATGCCACACCATGACTTTCTCTCCTTTTATCCCCATAGCAGCCATTGATGCAGAGGTATTCTTTGCAGCATAAAATGGTGCATTGTCATGCATGAAGATACTGTACCAGGGAAGAAAGTGGTCAGTCAGAAACTCCACATACTTTGCAGAGGTCATCTTTACACTTACGGGGACCTTAAAGGGGCCAACCAGCTCTCTTACCATAATTCCGGCCCAAAACATGACTCCACCAATGCCTTGCTGACGTCGCAGCCTTGTTGGAACAGGGTGGTCGTCCACCAACCATCCACTACTCCATCCATCTGGACCATCCAGGGTTGCACGGCACTCATCAGTGAACATGACTGTTTTAAAATTAGTCTTCATGTATTTTTCTGCCCAATGCAGCCGTTTCTGCTTGTGAGCATTGGTTAGTGTTTGCCGAATAGAAGGTTTATGCACAGTTGCAAGACTCTGGAGGACTCTACACCTTGATGTCCGTGGGACTCCAGAGGCACCAGCAGCTTCAAATATCTGTTTGCTGCTATGAAATGGTATTTTAGCAGCTGCTCTCTTGATCCGATGCATGGATCTGGCAGAAACCTTCCTCAATGTGCCTTTATCTGCACGAACCCATCTGTGCTCTGAATCAGCCACAAATCTCTTAATAGTGCGATGATTACACTTAAGTTTTCGTGAAATAGCTAATGTTTTCATACCTCGTCCAAGGCATTGAACTATTTCACTCTTTTCGGCAGCAGAGAGATCCCTTTTCTTCCCCATATTGCATGAAAATGGTGCTCTGCTTAATTATGTGGAATACCCTCCTTTAGTAGTTTTTCCTTAAATTGGGCTCACCTGGCATTCTAATTATCACAGGTGTCCGAGATTGTTTCCAGTGATCAAAAGAGCCCTGAGACACAATACCATCCATGAGTTAAACTGAAAAACAAAATATTTAATCTTTGTGACACTTAAATAGAATTTGCATAATAATTTGGAACAGGGTGTATGTATCTCGCTTATGGAATGGGGGATAAATCTGACTTAAATTTGATTTCCTTTGCTTACAAAAAGAAAGAAGGGGATGATGTTGTCCTCGTTAGTGAGACTCTACAATGCCATACGACTGTTGCCGTTTGTGAACTGGCAACAACTGTGCAACCATCCTCAGCTGGGCTGGAGCAAAGATTTTAATTTCCCCAAAAATGTATCTTCACATGTGTGTACTTTAAGCCCCCTCTTGAATTTCTTGCCCCCTTTTGTGTTTCTTATCCTCTCCTTTAGTGTATCTTATCCTGCTTTAGTGTATCTTATCCTGCTTTTGTCTTATACTCACCTTTATTTGTCTTATACTCACCTTTATCCCTCATTTTTCCCTTTGTGTGTCTCTTACACCCCCTTTGTGTGTATCTTACTCCTCTCCAGGCCCTTTGAGTGTCTCTTTCAACCCCAGGCCCTTTGTGTGTCTATTTCTTTCCTTCCCCAGTCTATCTGTGTACCTCTTCCTCTCCCTCAGCCCCTCTGTGTCTCGTTGTTTCTCCAGTCTCTCCCCTCTGTTTGTCTTTTTCTCTCCTCAGCCCCATTTGTATGTCTCTTTCCCCCTTCCCAGCCCCTCTGTGTGTTTATTCCCCCCAGCACCTCGTCTCTCTCTCCTCCAGTCCCTCTAGGTGTCTCCCCTAAGCCCGTGCCTGTTTCTATTGCTCCTTACCTAGCTCCTGTGTGTTTCTTTTGCCTCTTCTCCAGTCCCTCTGTATTCTTTTGTGTCCCCCATCCCCACTGGGTATCTCTCCCCAGATCCCTTTCTGTCTCATTTGCCCCTTTCCATGTATGTCTCTTCCCAAGAACGTGTCTGTCTCTTTTACCCCTTCCCCAGCCCCTCTGTGTCTATTTGTGTTCCAACCAGCCACTGTGACTCGGTGACTCTCCCAAAAAGCCCCTGTCTGTTTGTTATGAACCTTCCCCAGCCCCTGTCTGTCTGATTGTCCCCCCTTTGAGTTCTCTTTCTACTCATCCTGTGCCTTCCCACCTTCCTGTGTAGCATGGTCAAACGGTGGACCATGGTGCTTCTCTATCCTCTACCCTGCTTGACAGGAAGCTGTTTGGTTCTCTGTGAGCACTTCCTCTCAGACCGGTTAGAGTATACAGAAGCTCCTCTACTGCGGTCCACAGCTCAGCCACACTACACAGGTGTGACTGGCTGGAAGGGGAGCACTTTGCACTCTATTCCTGCTGGTAAAAGGAATCTTGCGCCCAATTGCAACACTACTAGCAGATGTTAACTCTGGCTTGTAATTTACATTACAAACTACCTTCAGGCTTTGAGCAATTGTGTCTCGTGGGGGAATTACTAACTGAAGGCATCTCCTTTGCTTGTCTAGAATACCGTGGAGACCCAACCCCAGTGGTTCATTACCACCTGGAAGGAGGACCTTGGAAAAACTTTTTAAAAACAAATTTAAGATCAATGTTTCAGTCCCTCTTGTGGACTTTCGTCATTATCCTGATGCAAGTCCACAAGAGGGACTGAAACGTTGATCTTCTCTTAAATATTTCAATAAAAGTTACATTTTCAGGAAATCCGAGAGTGCAGCCAACTATTTCAATTGCCTATATATATATATACTGGATACTGGAGCCCTGGTGATAAACAGTATATATATATATATATATATATATATATATATATATTTATTTATTTATTTTTTTTATTGATACATTTCTTCTTCTAATTCAAAATATTAGTTCTTTTAGGGTAATTAAATTATACAGTAAAGCATACTCACACACACAGAGACAATCTTACTGATGCACACAAATAGGCTCATTGATAGACAATGACACACACAGACAAGGTTACTGGCACACACACAACTTTAGTACAGACAAACTCTGATACACACACACAAGCTTACTATAGACAAGCTCACTGTCACACACACACGCTCACTACAGACAAGCTCATTGATGCGCACACACTCTCCCTACAGACAAGCCCATTGACACACACGCTCCCTACAGAAGAGCTCACTAACACACAGATTCACTACAGACAAGCTCACTGACACACACATGCTCACTACAGACAAGCTCACTGACACACATATGGTCACTACAGGCAAGCTCACGATCACACTCATGCTTACTACAGACAAGCTCACTGTACACACATGCTCACCACCGACAGGCTCCGACACACCCATGCTCCTTACAGACAAGCTCACTAACGCACACACACATATGATCCCTACAGACAAGCTCACTGACACACATGCAAGCTCACTCACTAGCAGGCACACACACACACACACACACAGAGGCTCCCCGTCACTAGCAGATGTGCGCACACACACACACAGAGGCAGACAGTCACTGACACCCAGGCAGACAGCCACACACACACAGGCAGACAGTCACTGACACCCAGGCAGACAGCCACACACACATACCGGCAGTCACTGACACCGAGGCAAACACCGACACATACAAAGACAGGCAGACAGCCACACACTCACACACACAGGCAGACAGTCACACACACACACAGTCACACACAGACAGTCACACACAGGCAGACAGTCACTCACACACAGGCAGACAGTCACACACACACACACAGGCAGACAGTCACACACACACACAGTCACACACTCACACAGGCAGTCACACACACACACACGGCCGGTGAAGTCCCACTGACACGCGAGCAAACACCCACACATACAAAGACAGGCGGGCAGCCGCACACAGGCAGACAGTCACACACACACACACACACACACAGGCAGTCACACACAGGCAGACAGTCACACACAGACAGTCACACACTCACAGACAGTCACACACTCACACAGACAGTCACACACTCACACAGTCTCACACAGACACACACTCACACAGTTTCACACAGTCACACACTCACACAGACAGTCACATACTCACACAGTCTCACACAGACATTCACACACTCACACAGACAGTCACACAGACAGTCACACACTCACACAGACAGTCTCACACAGACACAGGCAGTCTCACACAGACAGTCACACACTCACACAGACAGTCACACAGTCTCACACAGACAGTCACACAGTCTCACACAGACAGTCACACACAGACAGTCACACAGTCTCACACAGACAGTCACACAGTCTCACACAGACAGTCACACACAGACAGTCACACAGTCTCACACAGACAGTCACACAGTCTCACACAGACAGTCACACACAGACAGTCACACACTCACACAGACAGTCTCACACAGACAGTCTCACACAGACAGACAGTCACACAGACAGTCTCACACAGACACAGACAGTCTCACACAGACAGTCTCACACTCAAGACAGTCTCACACAGACACAGATAGTCACACACAGACAGTCACACTCCCGCACAGACAGTCACACACTCACACAGACAGTCCGCACTCACTGAGACAGTCTCCCGCACAGACACAGACAGTCTCACACAGACAGTCCACACAGTCTCACACAGACAGTCTCACACAGACACAGACAGTCACACACAGACAGTCTCACACTCACACAGACAGTCTCACACAGACACAGACAGTCACACACAGACAGTCACACACAGACAGTCACACAGTCTCACACACAGTCACACACTCACACAGACAGTCTCACACAGACAGTCACACAGACAGTCACACAGACAGTCACACAGACAGTCACACAGACAGTCACACAGACAGTCTCACACTCACACAGTCTCACACAGACCGTCTCACACAGACAGTCTCACACAGACAGTCTCACACAGACAGTCACACAGTCTCACACAGACAGTCACACAGTCTCACACAGACAGTCTCACACAGACACAGACAGTCACACACAGACAGTCTCACACTCACACAGACAGTCTCACACAGACACAGACAGTCACACACAGACAGTCACACACTCACACAGACAGTCACACACTCACACAGACAGTCTCACACAGACACAGACAGTCTCATACAGACACAGACAGTCTCACACAGACAGTCACACACTCACACAGACAGTCTCACACAGACAGTCACACACTCACACAGACAGTCTCACACAGACACAGACAGTCACACACTCACACACTGACTGGCTTCTTACCTCCTGCTTGGAGCTCCTGGAGGCTGGTTGTTGGGGAAGCAGGAACTCCTTCCTGCTTCCCATGCTGCAGTCAGCCAGGCCCCCGCCACACGCTAAGCTCCGCCCCGCCGCACGCAAGCCCCGCCCCCGCCACATGTAAACCCCGCCCCGCCGCAAATTTATTTTTATTTTTCTTATCCTGCCGGCCATGTGGAGCTGTGCCGGCCGCCTGGCTCCCCTGCTCCCATGGGGCTCTCTGCGGCCGCACAGCTCACACATGGCCGGCTGGGATCACAGTGCTGGGATCAGGGCTGACAGACCGGCCCCAGGTGCCGCGGCCCACCGGGAAATTTCCCGGTATCCCGGTGGGCCAGTCCGGCCCTGACTTTCTGTTTAAACCTTTCATGTTTTTTTGCTTATTACGTGTATAAGACAATGTGCTTCAAAACACTTCCTAAAATAAACATTATCAAAATAAAAGTTAATATCTATAATAATGTAATGCAACTACTGAAAACAAAAAACAACCTGATTTGCAAAAAAACTGACACAAGCAAACAGAATTATCTTTGTCCCGTGAGGACTCATTGCCGAATGAATGCGGGATAAGCTATTACAAAGGCTTTCCCACATACTGAATTCTCATTAGAGTGCTCTGATTGGCTGGCTTGAAGCCAATTAATTGTACTGACAAGCAAGTCCCGCGTCTCTTGAGATAACCCTGCCAGTAAAAGTAAAAAGCTTGGATTTTTTTAAATCTTGGCCTGCATGTTAACAATCCAGGTCCAGATGTTAGCCATTTAGCAGCATTCAGATCCTGAGGAGGCAAGCTGAAAGCTAGCCGGATAAGAGGCATGTGTGGGTGTGGTGAAGTGTAAGTGTAATATGGGGGAGTGGTAAAAGAAAGGAATAAGGGGCTGGACTATATAAATAGGCAGGCATTTTGCCTCCTAACTTCAGCCATCTTAAAATTACGTCTTGGTAACAGCGTCCCACTCTCCCTCCCTTGTTGCTGTTTGCTACATGTTGCTAACTCTTTTTCTTGTCGCAGCTGGTGGGTATGGTCCTTGTCAATCCTGGTTGGAGCAAGAGTACAGGGAGAAGAAGGAAGGTTGAGGCTGATCCCTCCCCTAACCTCTGGTAAATGTTGGACATTTGGACGTGCCCACTGAGCCAAAGGCCGGCCAGTAGTTGGCATGGTAGTAAGTTAAGGCCAAGTTAGAGGCCAAGTAGTGCTAGGACGAGGGGGAGGGCAGGCACCCAGGAGTACTCGTAGTTGGTGATGGAATGGTTTGGCAAGGACGAGTCTGCGGTTTAACTATATATATCATGTTGATAGTGTTAGTAAATGTTATTTATTGGTTGAATGTATATTTGTTAATTTATAAATAAAGCTGTGGCCTGTTTTTATACCACAAATATGTCTCAGGTTTTATTGGGGGGAGAATGGTTGGTAAAGAAGGTTGGTCACACTACACAGTAACCACTACCTGCACACAAATCCACCTGAAGTTCGGGACCAGATTCAGGCTCATTCGGAGTCTTCAGTGCAATATCAGCTAATTGTTAAATAGTGGGAACAATGTACATGTTTTGGAGTGGAAATGGCCCCATACAGTACTAGATGGCTTTGAACAGTTCAGAACAGGGACATTCAGACTTTAATGACTAACCCTGCGTTTATGAAACAAACCTGTCCCTGAACTGTGGGTGTCCTGCAAGTGAATTGTCTAATGTGCCTTTGTAAGTTTGTAGCTGATTTGTATTCTACATTCTGACCTTAAAAATAGCGCAGTAACACAGACAGCTAATAATATACCTTCAGGCATCTGGGAGTTAGAACTTTAGTTTGACTTTGTACATTTTTTGGCAACCCCCATCCTACCTTAACAGATTTATACCACCAGTTCCAGCTCCTCTTTTTTAGTGTGCTGTTTATTTTCCAGTTGCCACTGTAACATGGTTTCACTAACCAAAAAAAAAGAAAAAAGATTTGTATCTCTGTTCTAAGTCTGTGAGGCTGTGGAGATCTATTCAGTGATGCCAGGTGTCTAGATGTTAGGTGTGATACTTCAGTCTACAATGAGGAAAGAATGTAGCAATGTGATTGGCAATAAATTCCAGATAATCACGTTAGTTATCTTACCATAGCTCCTAACATGAATGTGGGACAGACAGGAAAGTACAGGACTTGCCAGTGATGTCGGTGTCACTTATGATGCGTCGGCAGGCTGGTTAAAGCACAGAGTGTTGAGGAATTGCACTTGTATGAGCTCTACATTTTGAATTCAGTATAGTCAGTTTGAGCATATTTATCTTTGTGCTTTGCTTATGGGAACAAATTTGCCTAATTCTGTCTGTAAGAAGGTATATTTTGGTGATAAAGCCTTTAAAATACTTTAAAGGCATTTTTAAATGCGTTAACACAGAGGTATAATACATTCTTTTCATATATATTTATTTCCACAGTATTTCATTTTTTATTTATTTTTTTTTATTAATATTTTATTTAGGCACAGATTAGGTAATTAATATCTCCATAAAAATGTATACACAGGTTATCAGGACATAGGCAGAGGAGATAAAGATATACGTTTTAGCCTATATTTACAGTTGTAATCAAAATGATTCAACCCCCATTGAAAATCAGGTTTATTGTCCAAATGTACAGTCTTTTAGGTATTTTAAGTTTTCTAGCTCAAGCACACCTGGTGCAACTAATGAAGCCCTTGATTAGTTGCATCATGTGTGCTTGAGACAACATTCTATTCAGGGGGTTGAATAACTTTGAGACTGGGGAAGTGTCACGTATTCATCCGCTTATAAAAATGTGATTAATTGAATTTACTCTTCAGACAGGAAAAGTTGTGCCGAGCAGCAACCAAATACACAGGAGGGTTTGTGCTAAGCAGCAATTATGCAAATGGAGCATGGTAACTGACTTTAGGGTCAAAGGCCGATTACAGCCTATCAGATCTAGAGGAGGGGTAGTTAGGCCCAGTTCTCATCCTGCTCAGTGCCCTGTCGTGGTTTGCCCAGTGGTTGTCCGAGAGCGCGTTATTGATTCTGGTAATTCTGGTTATTTCACTTTGGCATTGTTTTTAACTTCCCTGTTTTCTGGCATCCATGACTCCTGGCTTTTCCTTATCGCTGGGTCTCTTTCTGTGTTCCTTGACCTCGGCTATTCCTGACTATTCTTTGGTACGTTAGTCCGGCCATTCTAAGGTCCGGTATACGTTACCGATCAGTCCTCTGTGTTACATAATTCTACGTGCTGGATCATACTGTAATCCTGACAGGAAGTTGCATTTTCAGTTGAATTTGGGGCAACCATTTGGAACATTTGTTGTGTTGAGCTATTTTAATTGCTTTTGTTTGATTTATTAATTGCAAACAGCTGAAAGTCTATACATTTTGACAATAAACCTGATTTTCAATGGAGTTTAAATCATTTTGATTGCATCTGTATATCATAGAAATGCATAGAGCAATGGTATATTTGGTGATCACTGTCCAATCATATGGAAATACACACACACAGAGTACAAGCGCCTGAAAAGCTCGTACTAACTGAGTGAATTTGTGGAGAAATAATTACTTTGTGCACTTACCAGGATATTAATACAGGATGCAATTTAATACACAGATGCCTGTTTAGTGATGCAATTTAATGCACTGTACTTATAGTCTGCTGCAATTTTGGGAATCTGCATTCCACCTAAAACACTACTAGATTATTTGTTTGTGAAATTTTGTTAAATTACACATACTGTTTGATTTGAAATTTGTATTTGTTCCTCCACAGTAGTTACAAATCTTTTAGAATGATTGTGAGAGATTGGAAACTATCCCTAAGAAGGTAAACCCTACTACCCCTAATATTTCTTCGATGGATTAACTGATATATAAAACATAACTCTTTCCATGAATATACCTTTTAACATTTTCTGTATCCGCTACTAAAGAGTTGTTTAGATATACAATTGCTATTTGTAATTGAATTATTTCTTTGCTTAACTTATTAATTATACATTAATAAAAAATAATAATTGGGAGCAAGAGCGTACCTAGAGCATGTGGCAACCGGGGCGGGTCCTGTTTGGCACGCCCCCTCCCCTCCATAAAAAAAATAAAAAAATAATGCTAAATAATTGTTTAGCATTTAAAGTGAATTTCAAATTTAAGTCAAAAGTGGCCAAACTGGAAGCACAGCTTACTTGTAGAAGGTATTCATGCAGGTCACTTTGGACTTTTCAATTCACTATGAATAATCCATAATTCTCAGAAGAGTGGATAACCCTGCTAATCCTGTGTCTGGGATGGGATGTAAATTACTAGCTGATTAGAAGACTGCATCCAGCCTCACATCTAAGGTCTAGACAAGTATACCTCACACTGATATTGTAGATAGAGGTGGGATAGGTGGGGGTTTTGGGAGGGCATCAAGTTGTGGTGTCATAACTCAGTGTTTCATCCCTGAAATTACCCTGTGGTTTCTACCTTTCAATGTATATAGTCTCCTTTTTTTTCATCTCTCGACCCAAAGGAGGCTCGATTGTCCTGAGGCCACTGGATTTCCTTATCTGCGTTACTATATCTAGATTGGCCTTCCATGAGGCCATTTTATCCTCTGTTTACTTTAACTTTGCCACCGACGGTATCCTCTTGTCACTCTGTATTTCTTTATTCATTTAAAGCATAATAAAGATTGTCAGGAAGGATGAAAGAACAAGAAAGGAGAGAAAAGAGAAAGGAATGGTATTATTAAAGGACCACTATAAAAAATAAACTTGTTTTCCTGGCACTATAGCGCCGGGCTGAAGGGGGAGGCAGGGTGTTAAACACTCACCTTTCTCCTGCGCCGGGCTTCCTCATCGTTGGGGACTCTCCTCCTCCTTCGGTCGTCATCGGCTGAATGTGCAGTCAGTCCATAGGAAAGCATTCTCAATGCGAAAATCACAGTGAGATGCGCGAAAGCGCCTCTAGCGGCTGTCAATGAGACAGCCGCTAGAGCCTGGGTTAACCCTCAGTGTAAACATAGCAGTTTCTCTGAAACTACTATGTTTACAGCAGGCAGGGTTAATCCTAGATGGATCTGGCACCCAGACCACTTCATTAAGCTGAAGTGGTCTGGGTGCCTATAGTGGTACTATAATGTAAGGCTGTTTCGTGTAATGGCAATGCTTGTTTAACCCTCTCTTTGTTTTCAAATTTTGTTTAACTTTCTCATAAATCCTTGCAAATTTCCAAAATATTTATTAAAAAACAAAACAAAATGAAGACTGGATCCAGATGATGCCATGTAATTGTCCTCACACTGATAAACATCAACATAGTAGTAATAGAGGGCGAAGGGAATATTTTGAAATACTGACCGTGTTATTTACTAACGTGAGAATCACTGGAAATTCAAAATGAATTTTAAAATATAGGCCACATTAACCAAACTAGAAAATTGACTTTAAATTTGGTGCATTATTTTCTTTTGTTGATAAGCCTGTGAATAGTGAAAGTTCAAATCCACTAGACTATTAAAATTGTTACGTCCAGACATGTCATATACATTTTTGTAATCTGTTGATGTGACATCTTGGAAAGAATACAGGGCAAAAAAAACCTGTCCTGGTAAGTCTTTTTATACTTACCTTCCTCACACTCCCCTCCACAATAAATAATTCAGTAGCTTTTACATCAGTGATTGAAAACAGAACTGTCACCAACTCACAGGTGACAGCTCTTCTTTAACACTGTCAGAATCCAAATACAATTGCTTTTCACGAGTAGAACAATGCTGTGTTCATCTTCGATTTCTCTATTTCAGCTGCCTTTGTGAAATTATAATTAAAGAGAAAAATAATATAAAAGCAGCCAATAATAAAACAGGTTAATAATGCATCTTTATCGATTTTATTACACAGCAGAAAGACTTTTATAATACATTATTTTCTCGTGTGTATTATAGTACACAGTTTCTTTAACTGGATTGTACTATAAAATCAACGTACAAAAGAAGAAAATAATGGTAAATGATCACACAGATATTCAAGAGAAAGGAAATCAAATTGTATTTCATTAGAACCTCTATATTTTTCTTTCAAAGAAAAAACTTTGTTCCTTATGAAGAATATTCACACAAAAAAGAGTACATCCGTCTTTATATCTCTCTCATTAAACAGTTTGCGCTGTCTTCATCAGTCACACGCAACATTAAATATTAAGTGAAATCAACATATTAATTAATTATACAGTGGTTTAGAAGTAAATGCAATAAAAGAGGAGATTGTTTCTCTGTGGAGAAGACTAATATCTTTGTTCATGCATCTGCCTGAACTAAATGAATTTTATAGGCTTGCTATTAAAAAGAAATTTATGAGGAGTTAATCTACCTGGACATAATTCTCTCTGACCTTGGACAACAAAATACAAAATAAAGGGCATCGCAATAGATAGCTGTAACAGGAGAGAATGTGTCTCACCAGTGGAATAGGTTAGCGTTTCCCAAGATAAACAACATTACTCCAAAAGATCAGATAGTGTGGCATATTACCCTTAGTACATCTAAATTATAATGATCCGATACACTATCTTCTTAATAGCTACTTTGACATTGACGTTCCTGAGGCTATATATAAAAGGGTTCATCAGGGGTGTAATAACTGCATACATGGCTGATATTAGCCTGTCATGATCCATCATGTAACTTGATTTTGGTCGGAAATACATAAAAATGGCGGAACCGTAAAACAAGCACACAACTATTAAGTGGGAGGTACAAGTTGAAAATGTTTTTTTTCTTCCTGAGACAGAGTGAATGTTTAGAACAGCTGAGATGATATGTACATAAGAAAGCGCGGTTATCAGGAACGAGCATACAATAACAAGACCGCACGCAACAAGGAGAACAAGCTCGTTGATCCAAGTGTCTGTACATGCCAGTTCCATGAGAGGTGGAATATCACAAAAGAAATGATTGATCGTATTCTCATTACAGAAGGACAGAGTAAATGTGAGAACCGTGTGTATCAGAGAGTTTCCAGCACCAATTGTCCATGACCCCACTATAAGCTGACTACAGACTCTTTTATTCATTATGCTGCTATATAAAAGTGGGTGGCATATAGCATTATAGCGATCGTATGCCATAGCGGCAAGCATGTAGCACTCTGTACCTCCCAGTAGGATGAAACAGTACATTTGTAGGGCACATTCATAAAAGGAGATCGATTTATGATCTGCTAGAAGAACTGATAACATTTTGGGAACGGTAGTTGAAATATAACATACCTCTAGAAAGGACAGGTTGGCAAGATAAAAATACATAGGGGTGTTAAGATCCAAGCTAAATTTATAAGTGAGAATTAGAGATATGTTTCCAAGGACACTGGTTAGGTAGGTGCATAACAATACTGCAAATAATAATTGTTGAATTTCAGGAAGCTCTGAAAATCCCACAAAAATAAATTCTCTTGTTTGGGTATGGTTTTCTCTGTCCATTATTCAATTAAGTTCTGTTGATTTAAAGAGACAACATTATGGTTAGAACATTATGGCTAGAACAGACTTATTTAATAATAGTGAGTTAATGCGACCTGGCATCTCAGTTGGAAAATGAAAACAGACTTACTGAGTGGTTATACATGTTAAACTGCATTAATTATATAAAAACATAATGTATATTATATATAAATATATAATAATAACAAAGTTTCACCAGGAAATGTACATTCAGATTTCTCTGGTTTTCAAGTATGTCCTGTGAATGTTACCTTATTGACATCCAGGGGTTGTTACTATTACTATTTAATTGTAAATTTTTTATCTACCTCCTAAGGATGAAGGCCTGTCAGGATTTGAACCTGTAACCCAATGGTTGAACAGATTTGACTGATGATGTATTAGCCCACTGAGCTATCACAATATATAATATGTGACAGTAATTAGTAGGCATTTGATTGCTAGAACAGGACCTACCAAGAATGGGGTACATTGGCGTTGTGGCAGGGTTATGCAATGTATGATCATATACTGTAACTAAACCCCCATTATTTTTTGCCTTGGTGAGGTTTTTTAAAATAAAACTATTACATTCTGTGAGACTTCAAATTGCTGTTTAGTGAATGAGCAAGTTTCCTGGACCTTGTATGTCATATATAGATATAACAATATATAAATAAAATAAAATATGTATACTTATATATATGCATATATATTGTGTTTATATTATATACACACAAACATAATATATATATAAACAGTGGGGAACTAACAGAAGGGCAGGGGTCCACTCTAGGTTATAGGCTAGAGAGGGGTACACACACATAAAAAAAAAACATTTAATTTTTTATTTTTTTTTAAGAGAACCCCTATATCTCCAAATACCTGCTTTTCATGCACTGAAGAACAACCCAACATGTTTGTAAAAAAAATATACAAGTAATTAAATATAAGCAGATGGAATCAAGGAATTTATATTCTAAACATTATAATTATTTTAATAACTGTAACATTGACCCTATTTTGTTTTGATTTCCATAAAATCTACTTTATATAATAGAAAATCTTTTATGGGAAGAATTGTTTCACAAAGTGAAATCTAACTTTCAAAAAGCATTCCATATGGAAGCCATTCAAGCATTTAAAATACTGTTTTGTAATTTCAAAAGCAGAAATGCCTATGAATACTATTAAAAAGGTTAGCTATTAGCTATTTTCTATTCATCTGTATCAGAACCTCGCTTGTAATAATAATGATATTTATCATAAAAATAATTATTATTGTTTTTCATTATTTGTAGTGTGTACCACACTATCATCAGCAAAACAAAACATCAAAGACTAACCATCAAATACAGTTATTTAGCGTAAAATTGTATTGGACGTACTATTTTGAAACTAATGTGCTTTTAGTGTGAGGAGAGAATGGTATATATTTAGAATTTTCTGCCATTTTAATGAATGCCTTTTAAGTGGAATAAACTATCTTACTGATCAAACAGCAAGTTTAGATCAAATGGTTCAGGTCATTTATTTATCACTTGATGTCTTGTTACTTCTGTATATATGATAGGCCTTCATCTATTCAATAAGGTCATTATTTAACACAATGGTTGTACTTCAACCTGATGGACATCCCAAAACAGCTTTGCAAAAAATGGTCAAAACATAAATCAGACGAAAGAAATTATATGTAACTTGATATTTTACAGAATATTTGTATATAAATAGGGTGAGAATATAAGTAATAACAAAGTAATATCTTGAAATCTATAAGCACTAATGAATGTAAATTCTTGAAACAAATTATTTTTTATATTATAGAACTACTTTATAACACAAATACAACAAAGAAAGAGTTGTCTTTAACCCCTTAAGGACCAAACTTCTGGAATAAAAGGGAATCATGACATGTCACACATGTCATGTGTCCTTAAGGGGTTAAAAATAGAATGTCTTTCTTATTTCCATAGTTTGATATTTTTGGGAGGTATGTTAAAGCTTTTCGAATGGTGATACTGAAACTACTTTGGGATAGTATCCCAAAGAAAGATGGGTAACATAACTATCAATTAAATGAGAGGGATCACTACTCCTATAGTTAGAACATGAATCTACAGCTATAACAAGGATCTTGTGCCATTAATCATATGAATGATCTACATTCTGTCAATGTTGCTTTAGCAAATATCACAATAGTATTTTTTTCTGAAAATTATGCTTTTATGTAAGGTTCAGGGTTATGTGAGAATGTAAATGATTGCTTTCTAACCAGTTTCTGGAGTTCCTTAGACAATCGGCCCAGCCAGTGTTTTGTCAGGGAGAAAAATATGGTGAATCTCAGTATACGTGGGGTCTGATAGCAACCAATCTAGGGGGTGTCAAAACAGCAGGAATGACTATGATGACCATGTTACATTATCTGCTGTAACAGTAGCAAAGCATCAAAGGAGTTGTAGTCCTGAAAAAAAAAAGTTTATCAAAGCAAACCAGATGCTATTCTGTGTGCAAAGAAGTAACTGTTGAGACATTCTATTGGTTTCCATGGTGATTGTTCCTTGTTTAGCTCTTTTTTCGAGAAAATAACCTGTTTTTGTCTTGATAAATTTCCACCTGCATGTACTCTGTTCAGCATATCATTAGCACTGCAAATACTTATAAGTACGCAAAATGAAAGATATATCTCATTGTAAGGGTTAATTTTAAGATGCTTAGGCAGCATTGTTATCAAGATTTTTCAACTATGTATATTTGAGGCCTGAATTTGTAAAGTACAGTTCTGTATATTGCTTTGGAATTGCAGATTCCAACAGCTTTTCGATTATTTTTTTATTTAAAAATATATATTGCTTAAAGTAAATGATGAAACATTTACAATTAACAGATAACATAAGAAATATCAAAAATGATACAATGATAAATCAATTTATACAAACTGAGCTTAAATCTTCAATTAGATTAATATGGAGAAAATTAATAAACACATTTCGACATATGTGACTATAAGAGTAATAAAACAACCATACGTAACTCTGTAAACCTACCAACATCTAATAAAGCAATAAATGTATTTTTTGTGTCTACAACACAACACCTCACTTAGAATGTAAATTCTGGTCTGATGGTCATGTGTAAGATAACTTGAAAATATACCTACATGATAGGCTTGAATCTCTATCAATTTCACAATTTAACTGCCCTAGGACATTTTATACCTTCTCCAGTTTATTCCTATAATTACGATCACCTGAAATTTGTTTATGATTAGATTAACAGTGTTGTAATTTGTACCATTTGATTTGCAGTGATGATAAAGAATAAAAAATATGTATATTTGATTGCCATCATACTAGCTCCCTCAGCTAGTAATGTGCCTACAAACCAACGTTTTTGCAAAAAGAGAAAGAATTAACCGCACTCCAATCACATGAAGATCCAGGTGCTAAACTGGACCAAGGGCCAGCACCAGCCACATTGAGTAGATATCAGTGGTAGAAAGAGGATCCAGGCACTTAAGAATCTTCAAATGTGTTTAATGGGACAAGTGAGAAACCGCAACGTTTCGACCCCTGAGAGGGTCTTTGTGAAAGGGGTTTGAAGTAAGTAACTAAAAGAAAAAGTGTACATATTGTTATGAGCCTGCGATTGTTGCTGACTGTTTTCTAGATCGAAGACTTGACATATTTAAAGGATATCATTATTACAATTAAAATTAATTAACATTAGGTTGCCAGCATTCACAGAGAGCATTGCTACATTTAATGCAATCCTAATTTATTGCCTAGAAATGACCCCTGGATAAAGCACAAAAGACTATTTCTAATAAAGGTAGCTGTCTCTAAATTAACACAATTAATAAGAAACTTACCTTTTTATTCTAAAATAATGCTTTTATCAAAGCAATGTGGCTCTCATCATGTCTTTTGCCTTGAAATTTCAATGTGAATCACTTCTTTCTTCTTATATAATAGATATAAAATATATGGTACAGTCATCACACAATTGTTAAATGACACAATAACTTTATTCCTTGTTTCTAGTAAAAAAATAATAATAATTATATGTTGTATATTTTGCTATAATAATGTTTTTGTTAGAAATACAATTCAAAAATTGTGATTTTCCGATTAATATAGGAAGAAAACTGTCAGATAAAACTCATCGCCAGATATAACAAACTTGATATTATAAGATACATTAAATAAGCAGTATCTGAGAGTGAGCAGCAGAAATAAGTCCAATCTAGCTAAAAAAAAGAAGAATATCCTACTGTGTGTTTTGAAAAATGAATGCCTGACCAATGTCAAACTTATATATAGGTGATATTGCTGTACAAATCATGAACAAGTCCCTAAAGTACAATTTCCATTCCACAATCAAGTTTCATGTAATGATATGGGGTAAGAAGTGAAAAAAAATATTATTATTTTTTTTAATTGCCATGGTGATTGGAAAGATAATACTCTAAGGTTTTGTTTAATACTCAAAGGACTGTCATGCACAAAAGTAAACCCCACAGGGAAATAATGTATAATGTATATGCTGATGTATACATGTTGCTTTGTTTGTCGAGGGTTCTATTAATAATTTGAAAATATTAGACCTATTTTTGGTTGGAATTTACATTGAGTTTAGATTTACAAAAGGAGCATCTACAAATATAAAAAGAAAATATTTTCATATTTTGGTTTAGCAATGTATATAAAAACATCTAAATATTATAAATATTATCTAATTATTATTTTTTTTTATTAACTATTAGAACTATCCTTATGTCAAGTTGTTTATATATATATATATATATATATATATACATACACATACGCACTACACCAGGTGGCACACCACTTTAGGGATCATCATGGAGCAGAGCCCACAAAATTGGATTTTATTGGGATACAGCAAGTTAAAAGTGAATGGAGAGGTGGAGCTTTTAATGTAAAGATTGGAAAGGCAGAGATGAAGTGCATTCTTGGTTCCATATGGCCTCAGCAATGATTTTGAAATTTGCCACTCCTACGAAACGCGTTAGGCAGTTTGCAAAAGCAAGACACTGATCGCATTCACCAGCAGTAGTTCCATTTTCCAAGCAGGACCTTTGGTAAAAACAGCAACCGGCATCGCCTGTTTTGCACGTCCCCGGGAGTGAGGCTTCTGTTCGTAACGTGCACTCAGCATCACGCCGTCCTCACCAGCAGCCGGAATACCAACAACTTACCAACAGTATCCAGATCCATCCTCCTATAATCCGAGGGTCCCTGCTGGCATTTGATATATTAAAGCCTGGTAATGCACTTATGAAGGTTTTTTTTACTTATATTTTTATTATCTTTTATATATTTTTAATGTTTAATAAACTGGACTCTTTTTGTTAACCTATCCAGTTTACCTTGCTTCAGTTCATCACGATCTATTATACAGAGTATCCAAGCTTGCAGTTCCACATACTGTATCGCTTAGCAACTTAATACTGTTACTTTTTATCTTTGACACTACAAAATAGATCACTTTGAAATAGGTATCATCTACCCCCCATTTCATTGGGGATCGAGATACCTGTGTTGCACATTTTCCTCCAAGGAGTTTATTCCTTTATTTTGTGGTTTACTTTTATACATATCTGTCTCTATTTATTAATTATTTAAGACATATTTCTTTCACTTTTATCTTATTTTTACCCACCATTTCTTCTCTTCTATCACCCACTTTATATTCCTCACCACAATATTTTAAAGGTACAGCACACATTGTTCGCTTTTTCATTATTTTTTATTTTTCTATATTTTTTATTTTTTTATATTTTTATCCTCATTTTTATCATAATTTATTTATTATTTTTCTCTTATTCTCCACATTTTTATGTTTTATATCGAAGGCACAGCAATCACTCACTGCTTTTATACCTTTTAGGTTTACCACATTTTTAGCCATTAGTCACTAGCCAGCTCCTGGAGTCCACACACTTTACTTTTAAGGTGATTTCTTATTTGTCTTTTTTTATAGGTTTTTAGTGAATCCCTATTTCTCCCAGTTTGAGCAGTTTAGTGCTAGTCTGTCTCCCTCTTTCCTGTGTGTTACACTAGGTACACCAGAATAGTTCTTTCATGGTTACAGAGGCAGGCTGGTAACAGTAGAAGGCTGATAATGGAGGCAGGTTTGTAACACAGGAAGGCTGGTAATAGAGGCAGGTTTGTAACACAGGAAGGCCGGTAATATAGGCAGAGGTCAAAATCATACGTGAGAGTGGAGCAGGTTTGAAGGCAAGTCTGGAGCAGGTTGGTATGGAGCAGGGTAGAAGGTAAGTCTGGATCAGGTTGGTATAGAGCAGGGTAGAAGGTAAGTCTGGAGCAGGTTGGTATAGAGCAGGGTAGAAGGTAAGTCTGGAGCAGGTTGACAGGAGCCAGGAACTGATCATAAACTTCAATGTAAAGGCCCTGTTGTGAGCAGGGCGTAGCCTTATGTAGTTGAAGCAAGTAATTAGTCCTAGGCAGGTGAGGACTGAGGTGACTAGTGGCTATGGAGGCCACTAGTGGTTGAAAGCTGGAACTTCTTTTTAAAGGAACAGAAACAAAAGGAAGATAAAACATAGCTGTCAGGATACGATCCTGACAATGCCTATTATCAATGTATATCGCATCCATTTACAATTATCTTTCTTTATTTCACCGTCTTTCAAGCAGGTTTGGGAATACCTTCTGTTTTATGTTTTATAGGTGACTTTTTATGTGATCATACCCTTTAAATAAGTTCTTGAGTGCTGTCTCTTTAAATATGCATTCTCTCTAACTATGCATTGTCTTAGAGAAGATGTATTTGTCTATATTATCTATGTCAACACAGTTTTTTTTATGTATTTACTACCTATGGTATTATGGCTTCTTTCTAGTTTTTTATGTTTAGGCTGTCTTTTAAAGTGAATGTTTAAATGTATTAATATGATAAATTAGGACCGTGATCCATGTTTTAATATATGTATGTACACATATGTGGGACTATATGTACTGTATAATTATATATATATCGGTAACATCATGCTAGGAATTACATGAGCAATATGTAAATGTACCATTTTGAAACAGCCAATAAGGACTTGAGATCTCGCCCTTTAATGCCCATCTCCAACATGGAGTCATCAGCATGCCCTGAGGAAGCCGCAAATAAACGGCGAAATGTGTTGAAGTCATTGAGAGGGGCGGAGCTTGCGGACTTGAAACACACAGCAGGATGCTAAGAGATCTGAGCCTGTTGGAAAAACGTGGCAAAACCGCCGCCAGCAACACAAAAGGACTTTACCCCGCTTGTAGAGACATCTGCAGCCCACCCACATTGAGCCTGATCAGTGAGTAGCGACATACACCGTGATTACTCACCACCTGTTTTTGTAAGAGGCAGAGCTTCTAACTAATTTATTTATTTTTTTTGTCATGTATGTCTGTTTATAATAAACTATAAGTTTTATATCATTTATCCTTTAAAAGGATTATTATATATCCATATATCCTTTGAACTATATTATCTGTACAAACACTGTTATATAAGCTTCAGATTCACATATTATTAGAGTTATTACTGTGTGACAGAATAATTAAATTTTGTTAAAAACAATCTATACTATTTGTTCTTTCCATTTTCTTTTTTTACATGTTCCATGAATTCTAATCAAATGCCACCTATTGGGGGATATACCCAATACGTTTGTATATATTCAAATTACAACATTTAATATTGCTCCACTTATTATTACATTATCAAAATGAAGCAGGTCAGAGATTAGTAGAATTATGTCAAGATAATTCTTTGGTCATAGCAACAGCCAGCAAGGTAATGCTTAAGATCCTACAAGCTTGACTCAAACAATATATGCCCGGGAATTACCAGATATACAAGATGGATTCCCCAGAGGACGAGGCACAAGAGATCAAATTGCCAATGTATGATGGATAATAGAGAAAGCCAGAGAGTTCCAGAAAAACATCTACTTCTGCTTCATAGACTATTCTAAAGCCTTTGACTGTGTGGATCACAACAACATGTGGCAAGTTCTTAGATGGGAGTGCCATATCACCTCATCTGCCTTCTGAGGAATCTCTATGTGGACCAAGAAGCCACGGTGAGAACCAAACATGGGACAACAGAATGGTTCAAGATTAGGAAAGGAGTGTGACAAGGTTGTATATTGTCACCTTATTTATCCAACTTATATGCGGAATATATAATGTGTAAGGCTGGGCTGGATGACTCCAAAGCCGGAATCAATATTGCCGGAAGAAATATCAATAACCTCAGATATAAGGATGATACTACTCTGATGGTTGAAAGTGAGGAAGAACTAAAGGACCTATTGATGAAGGTAAAAGAAGAGAGTACAAAAGCTGGCTTGCTGCTCAACATTAAAAAGATTAAGATCATGGCAAACAGCAATCTCAATTCCTGGGAAATAGAGGGGGAAGAAGTGGAGGCAGTGACAGATTTCATTTTATTGGGATCCAAGATCTCTTCAGATGGGGACTTTAGTCATGAAATTAAAAGACGTTTGCTTCTGGGGAGGAAAGCTATGGCAAGCTTGGACAAGCTGGTAAAACCGAAAGATATTACACTATCAACAAAGGTCCGCATAGTCAAAACTATGGTATTCCCAGTAGTAACATGAGAGCTGGATTATAAAGAAGGCTGAGCGTCGTAGAATTGATGCCTTTGAACTGTGGTGCTGGTGAAAACTGCTTAGAATCCCTTGGATGGCAAGGAGATCCAATAAATCTGTACTACAGGAAATCAAGACAAGCTTTTCACTGGAAGCTATGATCATAAGGCTGAAGCTGGAATATTGTGGCCATAATGAGAAGGCAGGATTATCTAGAGAAGACTCTGATGCTGGGAAAGATTGAAGGCACATGAAGAAGGGGATGACAGAAACGGAGAGGAATAGCTGAGGTCACTGAAGCAACAAACATAAATTTGTTGGAGCTCGGAGGGGGAGTGACTGACAGATGAACCTGGCGTGCTATGGTCCATATCGACACAGAGAGTCAGACACAACTGAACGACTAAAATGGATCAGAGGATCTCTCCTGCTGACCCATGCAGGGCTGGCGCTATCCAAGCGCCTTCCTTACTGTATGCCTTCATGGGCTGGTGGGAGAGCCAACAGGCACTTCACTGCAGTAGAGAAAAGGAGAGGGAAGGGAAGAACCAGGGTGCTCTAACCTACAGCTATGGTGGGATATTCTTCTTGTGGGTTTGGAGCATTGCCGTGGTTACTATGGCAACATTCCAGCAATGCCAAATCTCACAATCTCTTAAACCAACCTATTTACACAAAATACCATACCACAATCTGCTTACTCTACACATACACAAGCATCCTCCAAACACATGCACAATAAACTTTCCTTGCCCTCTTTTCTGATGATGTTGATGATGACAAAATAAGACCCTTTCTGGCCTGCCCGCTAGTCACTGGGCCACTGTGGTTAAATAATGCCCAGGCCAATGTTTTTTTCCCAGTCTGGCCCTGCTAGTGTCCCTTTTCTTCTCATATTCAGCCATCCATACTTCCACACTCCACCAACCCGATACCTTGAAAGATGCACTTGGTGGTCTGACTGTAAGGTGAGAACAATGAGACAGTTACTGCTCAGAGATAAACGTCTCTCTTTTCACTGTGTACAGATGGGATTTGTGTTGCAGTCACAATAGTGTCACTATATTCATGTCCATCATTATCTTCAGTCTTATATTCAGGCCTATCACCTTTCAAGGAATGCATCGTTCAAAGAGTTTGTGCTAGTTGGTCTAAAACTCAGGGCTTGGCTTCATGGCCTTACTCCTACATACTCTAGAACCTGCTGTTTCTCTCTGCTCATAACAACCGTTGGAAAGGAATCAAGACAAAATGAGAGTTGCTGCTTATCCCTAAATAGTAATAGCCAAGCTTAATAATAAATTGGAAAAAAAATATAACTCTATCCAAATCTGAAAATCAATTGTAATTTGTGCATTTTAATGTTGTTGTGTAATGTAGCAGGTGTGAAAATATTTTTCCACAGTATATACAAACATTTCTTTACATGAATACATATGTGAGTGTTTAATTTATTACATTTGTTAAGTCAAATTCTCGATTGATTGAGCCAAGTTCTGTCTCCATGGTTTTCTGCATAAAACCCGTAGAGTGAAAATGACAGTTAATAATGTCATCTACAGCTACAAAAAAAACCAGTTATTTAAACAGTCAAATGTACTGAGAGTGTATTAAACTTTGTATTGAAAAAAGAAGTGAAAAATTATTTAAAAATTCAATTGACAGATTGAGAACAATAATGTTTTATAGTTTAATTGTCTTCAGTGGGAAAGAGATGAGGTGTGTTTATTTAATACAATTGGAACTATGAAATCTAATTGAACAAGCACATCTTTTGCTTTCTTAAAGGAACACTGTTTTTTTAAATGTATATTTAAATTTATATTTCCTTTTCCTTTTTGCTGTGTGTGAGGGGTGCTGAATGTGTGTAAAAGGGGCAATGTGTGTAAAAGGTGCAGTGTGTGGGTGAGGGGTGCAGTGTGTATTTAAAAGGTCACTCTTACCTTTCATTTCATAGCGCTATTAGAAGCTTAAGTCACAGGTGTGAGGGACAGAGTGCCTTATTGCGTACTAGTTCTTTACCAGTTGTCCATTTCTTTCTTCCCATTTTTTTCTTTACTCTTTTCCTTTCTCCTTCTTTTCTTATTCTTGCTCATCATTCTTGGTATTGTAATTATACACCAAAAACGACAATACGATTGGCAAAAAATGCATTCTTGCACAAAAAGGCAAATGACAACTTCCAGCAGCTCCTGCATGTATCCATCTGTCATTATAGTTGCTCTTATTATCATCCTGTGATGTCATGTAAAAGTTGTTGAGAGAAATGGAGGTAAAGGAGCACTATAGGGTCAGGAACAGAAACATGTATTCCTGAACCTATAGGGTAAAACCACCATCTAGCCACGTTGGTCCCCTCATGCCTCCCTAATATTGTAAAATCTTACTTGTATTCAAGTCTGGAGCTGAAGTGGTAGCCTGATCCAATCACAATGCTTCCCATTAGGATTGGCTGAGACTGACAAAGAGGCAGATCGGGGCAGAACCAGCACAATTCAAACACAACCTTGGCCAATCAGCATCTCCTCATAGAGATGAATTAAATCAATGCATCTCTATGAGGAAAGTTCAATGTCTTCGTGCAGAGGGTGGAGATACTGAATGTTTGGATGCATTCTAGGCAGCCATGACCCAGAAAGGATCTCTAACAGCCATCTGAGGAGTGGCCAGTGAAGTTATCACTAGGCTGTAATGTAAACACTGCATTTTCTCTGAAAATACAGTGTTAATAGCAAAAAGCTTGACGGTAATGATTCTACTCACCAAAACAAATTCAATAAGCTGTAGTTGTTCTGGTGACTACAGTGTCCCTTTAACCCCTTAAGGACACATGACATGTGTGACATGTCATGATTCCCTTTTATTCCAGAAGTTTGGTCCTTAAGGGGTTAAATATATTTTTGGCGTTAAAAAAATAAATTCCTATGATCCACATATGTCCAAGTTCTCACAACATAAATAGTTAATAAATTATACTTCATAGAAGCTGATACAGCTTAAACCTTGTGCTATGTACAGTGTCTATATATATATATATATATGTACTATATGTATACTATATGTATACATTTACTTTAAAGATAGAGAAGATGACAGAGAAGATGATCAAAAGCTATAAACCATTTGTATGCTTTTACAGTTTATAATTAGATAGGTGTGGTATATGTGGAATTATTTTGAGATAAACATTGGAAGAATTACAATTCATATTCCAGGAACTCATCCCATGAATTATTATTATTATTTTTATTTTGAAGACCGAACACCAATCAATTTGCCCCCAGCTCATCCATGCACCTCACCTGTTCAACCCTATATTGTTGTGTATTTTTAAACCAACAATCCAGACTTTATATATTTCTTTTCAAGAACCATGCAGAGAAACCCTGCTGTCATTATTGCCATGTTTTGACATATATATTTTTTTCCAAGTAGGGAACCCAATCTTACTTTATAATCATGACTAATGGGGAGAATTCAGGACCGATGGGTGTTCTTAACCGGCTAAGTCAATCCTTGACTTGATTCTAAATCAAATTAAATTAAAGAACAGCACAGCATTTCTTGTTACATTAGTCCACGGAACAACGTTTGGATACCATACGAGCCGCTTTAATGAAGATCATACATCTCACTTATTCATTTTCTGAAGAAGGAAAGGTTATAGAATAATCAATGTTTCTCACTCTCGCAGGACGTTCTAAAACAGATGGGATTCAGATAGAGAAAATCCCTTTAGATTATAAAACCTGATTATGTAAATATTTGTGATGTTAACGTGATTATTCATTTTTTAGAATCTTCATGGATAATGATGGCTTTTCATTGAAATTGACTATGTTATTGAGTACTTTATAAAAAAAGGTATCCAATATCAGTGTACTGGATCTTGTAATAAATATCTTTTGCTCAATTCAATTTTGTTCAAAATTCCTAGGTAAAACAAAACCCTAAACAAATTATTTTATGCGTTATTTCAAAATAATCACACATATATTTGTCAAAGACAGCTAGGGAGCATTGACTTTTATTTTCTCAGTTCATAATTTATGATTTGTTACTAAAATAATCTTCCCTTGTAACCAAATATATATGACAAGTTTGGCTTGTGTACTTCTATTTATAACATGTCTATAAGGAGGAAGCTTTACAGTTATTCTTAAGAAGGTAGGAATTTCAATTGATTTAATGAAACCAATAAAATAAATAATTACGTGAACACATTTAGAATTATTGTTAGGGCGGAGCTTGGCCACCATCATAGATGGTCACCGTTTAGAGGAGCTCCTCGGACACTGGGACTAAAAAATGTTCCAAAAAGCATAACTTATTTCATTAATCTGCAACTTTAAACCACCAATGTCATTTTATAAACATTCAACTTATATGCAGAGAGAGAAAAAATGTCTTTGGAAAAAAACATGCCTGTCATGAAGAAAACTGAGACAAAGCTTGCATGCCGGATTTGCAGCTTATTTCGCTGCCCGATTTAATGCCACACTCCCCTGATGGTTCATTAACCTCTCGTCCTTCCCCTAGTTCCACATATTCAAATAAATGGTGGAACTGCGGCCGCAAGTGCTGCGAGAGTGAAGGATGGGCAGAACACGTTCAGAGTATCTGACAAGCTCAGAGAGTGTGGAGGGAGCTTCTGCGAGTGGCACAGTGTGCAAGAAAGACCACATGCGGTCTCATGCTAGAGCGGCCCGATCGCTCATTTATTTAAGTAATCGGGCTACTGACAGGGGAAAGGGGATCTCCGCCGGGTCCCACAGCCTTGCGGAGGTCGGACTGGGTGGAAGGTACCTTGACCCCACCCCACACAGTTTTAAAGAGCCAGCATGTTCTAGTGAAGACGAAAGGGACACAGATAGACCCAATATTATGGAAACAGAACAGACTACAGAGAGTATTGGCACAATGACTTTACAGCCACTTCCACAAAGACCTGCTGCCCCTACAAAGATGGCTACCATCAGTAAAACGGCCACTGCCACCTCCACAATGGCCACTGCCACCAAAATATGGCTGCTGCTTTTACAAAACTTAGTAATGACCATGCCACATTCAAGATAGCTGCTTCTGCACAACTTGATATTTCCACCACCAAGATGGCTGCTGTCACATCCAATTTGTCTTACACTACTCTTAAAGCAGCAACATACAATCTTACAATGCCACCTGAATTGGCTGAAGATTTGCCACCATCAGCTGGAATGCTGATTGAACTTATTCAAGAGTAGACTTAAAAAATGATTTAAAAAAAGATTTTGAAGCGATGTATGGAGTTGTGGAAGGTATTAACCCGTGCACGGAAGAAGTGGAAAATAGATTACACTTCCAACAGCAATCTCATCTGGATTTGGTAGACAAGGTAAAGGCACTTCAACAACTGGTTAATCAAAATTGCGGATACTGAAGACAGGAGTTGACGCAATAATTTAAGGATCAGGGGGATCCTTGACAACATCAACATTGCAGAACTACCAAACTATTTTCAGTCTATGGGGAGGACAGTTAAACCCAATGTCACTAACTCGGCTGCACCCAAGGATGTAATAGTGTGTTTTCACTATTATCACATAAAAGATTAATTCTTGGGTGCAGTGCACATGTCTGGCTCCCCTGGGGACTATAACAACATGAAAGTCTTTCAGAAATTTTCTGCACACACCATGAGACGGCACAGGGAATTTCTACCTTTCACTTAAGAACTGCATCGCAAAGGAATCATATACAAATGGGGGTTCCTGGTAAAGGTTCCCTTTTTGCATGAATGGTCAGAACTTTGTTGTTTCATCACCAGAAGAGGGTATTGAAGTTCTCAACTCCATAATCAAAAGCCAGTTGTTCTCAGCTCACACACTTTCATCTTCGACTCCTGAGCAGCCTAGCAAGAGAAGTAAGCCTGATGCTCCGCAGTTACCGACACAGCCTTCGAGATCCTAATGTAACACTTTCCAGATGATGGTGTTTTTTTCTTTGGTGTACCTGTTCCTGAGCCGCTTGAGGGATTACCTCAAGAAAACTATCTTCAGATTATTCTACTGATTCCTGCTTTTGTTTTGAAGTCAGACAGGGTTACTTGAATATTTGTTTGTGTTTTTTTTTTTTATCTGCAACAATTTGATCGACTTAAGGGTCAAGATTACTGCGGTTGCTCAATGTGAGACGCAACTGCTTAAATCAAGACTTAACATGGTTGTCCAAGACATTTTTATCTCAGTTTTTTTCTGTTTCTTAGACTACGGCTTAATTCGACTCGTAATACTGCTTCCTTATTAGAGGGTGACTCTGTCATAAACACAACCCTATGCTGTTTTCATACCGACGCCGTACGTTTTTTTTGTTTACCTTATGGCTTAGGTCAGTACATGACACTGACTTCATTATTAGAGGGTGAGTCCCCATCAAAGCTCAGCCCAATGCTAATTGTTAGAGTAATTTATATCAGTTTCTCTGTTTATCCTACAGTTTACTTTAATACATGATTCTGATTTTTCATTAGTAGAGGGTGAGCCCCTCTCATTCTCTCAGCCCAATACTCAGTGGTGTATTTAAGATTTGTGCTGCCCTAAGCAGGACGGTGCTTGGGCACCCCCCCTAATTTAAATTTCTCCACCCCTTCCTGTCAAGGCCGCACTTTGACTGACAGACGCTCACTCACTGACAGATGCTCACTCGCTGACAGACACAGACTCTCATATACACTGACAAACAATGACATACACACACTCACTGATTTGACACACTGATAGAAAGACATACACTATTGCTCGGACACACACTGAGAGACTCACACTCACTGACAGACTCACTGACAGACGCACACACTCACTGACAGACGCATGCACTCACTTACAGACGCACGCACTCACTGACCGACACATACACACTGACTGACCAACACACACACTCACTGACAGACACACACACTCAAATTCACTGACACACACACTCACATTCACTGTCACACACATATTCACTGACACACACACACATTCACTGACACACACTCAATGACAGACACACACACATTCACTGACACACACTCACATTCACTGACACACACACACATTTCCCCCACTCACAATTATTATTATTATTTTTTTTAAAATATGAAATCCACCCATCCTCCCTACTTTTGGGATAGCTGGGTGGATTTTTCACCTGGGGTCCAATGGGGCTGCTGGACAGGGAGGCGACCAGACGTGCAAGCGGGTGGGTGGTGAGGGAGCACTTTCCCCCCTGCGCCCTCTGCTCAGCTCCCTCGCATGCCGCAGAGTGATGCCGGGAGCCGGAATATGATGCCTGTCCCGGGAACCCCAAAGGTGGCCAGCCGGCCAGCTCTTGGGCTCCCATAAAATGAGACAAACAAGGTATTTGGGGGTGGCGTTTTTTGCCGCCCCCTGGAAATTGCCGTCCAAGGCAAATGCCTTGTTTGCCTCACGGTAGGCACATCCCTGCCTACACTGAAAGGGATACTAGTTACATTATTAGAGAGTGAGCAGTATTGATATTTATTCTGCTTCCTGTGAGTTCTCTGTTTTGACTACAATCTATTACAGTATATATTACCGATTTCTTTATTGGAGGGGGGAGCCTCCTCCCATTCACAGACCAATATGGATAGTTTTCTGCTTCCTGACATGTTATTTGTTTTGTTACGGTTTATCACAGTACATAATACTGGAGAGTGAGCCCCTCTCATGAAGACTTCCTTATATCAACCGGGAAGTTGGGGGCGAGCCCCTACATTACATATTACAGCTCATCTCATTATATTTTATTATTTTTATTATTATATATGGGCTTCTGGGGCGGGCCCCCTGATTTCTAAGAGTGCCCTAGCTTAAGCTATCTACTACTATTACTGGAATGTATTCTGGACAAATATTACTGGGTGAGCCCCAGTTATTAGATATGTATATAATTTACCCTAGCGGATGCTGTCTGCTACTATACGGGCCTATATTCTATACTATTTTACTGGGGGTGAACCTGGTGAATAATATGATGATATTATTACATATCCTAATACCTTGCTTTTACTGGTTTTGGCTATTGGATCTGACTGGCACTGTTACAGCTCCAATGATTGGCCTGCTTTGTCTGTGCCATTGTTCCTCCCTACTGGATATTCTCCTGGAGGTTTTATTATTACTGGGTGAGCCCCAGTTATTGCGGATATGTATATTATTTACCCTAGCGGATGCTGTCTGCTACTACTACTGGCCTATTTTTCTATACTCTATTACTGGGGGGTGAGCCCCCATCATATTATTACACATCCTGGTACCTTACATTGCCTGGTATTGGCTATTTGATCTGGCTGTCACAGCTCCTATGATTGGCCTGCTTTGTCTGTGCCACTATACCTTCCTACTGGATATCGTTGTGGAGGTTGTATTATTACTGGATGTGAGCGACCTATCATATTATTACAGATCCTGGTACCTTACCTTGCCTGATATTGGCTATTTGATCTGGCTGTCACAGCCCTATGAGTTTACACACTGTCTTTAACCTCCGGAATCGGTAGTATTCTGTTCCATGTCCCAATGTTTGCTGTGTTTCCTGGGGAACAACCGGCCTTGCCAGTTTAACCTATCTACTCTCCAATATAAGTTGCGGGCACTGTTAAGACCAGTGACGGCTCATCTTTGTTTACAAAGGTTTCCATGACCTCATAGCCAGACTCCTTATTACTCTCCCGCGAGGATGCCCTGGACTAATATCAGCCTAACTTTATGATCCTCTTGTTCATATACCTGGCCTTCGCAGTCTTCCAAAGAAAGTCGACCTGCACCCCATTCCAGGTGGTGAAGTTCCAGGGTTCAGGATAAATGTTCCCTTGGGAGTACTTCATCGGCCACAGTCATAAATATTCCACAATTCGCATGGTGAGCGAGAGATTCCACTCTCCACGCTAGCCTGCGGAGTAGACCTATTATCAGATGATACCACTCACCTCGGAGGTCAATGGGGAACGGGGAGACTTTTATTCTTTTCTGCCCCAGACTTGGTCATGGTTCCAAACACAAGTCTTGAGATTGGGGAACTGCTTGCCCAATCTCATCGCCTGATAGCTCTTGGACACTTGGAAGCGGACTTCCCCATCTTTGGTCCAAAACTGATTGCAGGTTTTCCTTTCGCAATCTCAAGTTTCACCGATAATTTATCAGACTGTTGCATCCTCCTGAGAATGGACACCATATTGGCATTGCAATACATTGACCGCCTTGGCGGAGCCTGGTCACATGTGGTACAGTGAATCCTGCGGCGGATTGAATTTTTCCCAGGATTGGAGGAACATCAACGACTGGTGTCTTTGTTGATCACATTTCCATTGCATCTCACTGTCGAAGGATCCATTCAGGACAAATCTATTGGCCTTCTGCGATAATTACCAATGGAACAAGCATTGTTTGCTTTGTTGACTGAGCGTTAAAACAGCAAATATGAAGCCTCCTGTCATGTTTTAAAATTGTAGGTAATGCTAGCTTAATCTTAATTCTATTAATGACAGGAGGCGAGTATTTCCCTCCCAGTTTTTCATCCCTACCCTTGTTTGATCTCTGGTCAGAAGTTTTGGGTAATCAGGTATGTATGCAACTCTGCTTGTTGTTTTTGCTACCTGTCACTTTTTATGTTACCGTTTCTTACATAGAACAGTTGGGATCTCAGTACATTACAGCAATACTGTTTATCACACTGAGTCACTGCATATTTATTCATAGTACATTTCATTACCTAACCAGCCCTTTTGACTATGTTTTTCTCTTTTCAGTTTGTAAACTGTCCATGGCACCATGTTTGAAATTTCCTCTCGGCTGGATGACATTGTTGACTCTACTGCCTACAAGGACTTGTTACACTGCATGGTTTTATTCTGTTTCTTATTCTGTTTTGTCGCAGCTTGAAAGAGGATGTTATGTGTGGGAAGGGGAGCTTTACTGTATCTTACTTTTCTCTGATTGGTTGATTTTCTCTGTGTTAATGTGCTGCTGTGTAGTTCTAGTAAAGAAAGACTTAAGCAAATATTCGCCTCCGGTCATTAATAAAGAGATTGAGATTATAGATACACTAAAGCTAGCATAAGCTACAATTTCTTACTGTGTATAAAACAAATTCTAGAGGTGTATCGATTTTTTTTAATAGGAATGTGGCCTGCTTAACAGACTAGGTGGTAACAGACAATGATAGGAGATATGTGCTATGGATAGGCAAAATTAATAATATAGAATAAACTATTGTTAACATGAATTTCCCGAACATAGGTCAGCTGAGGTTTTTTTAGAAAAATAATGGATTTAGTGAATGAGAATGTATGCGGACACTTGATAATATGTGACGATACAAATTTTGTTATGGATGGTGAGCTTCATAATACTAGGGAAGATCCCATTCAGCCGTGTAGAAGGAATAGTGACAAATTGGCAGAAAAATGTTCAAGATATGAATATGTATTAAAGGATAGATGGGTTTATGGTTCTGAGTGCTCTAATCCCACGCATCTTGAGATCTGATATTTTGGAGATAAACTGGTCGGACCATGCAACCATTATATTGCATATAGATTAGATCACTACTTCAATCCCGGTAATTATTTTTCAGACAATGTTTCATCTGAAGTTCCTGGGGAGGTGACTTGGAATGCACAATAGGCTGTGTTGCGAGGTCATTTTATTTCGAGGACGTCTCACCTGAAGAGAGTTGGTAACAAAGATTTGAGAACATTAGAAAAATAATTATATTATTTAAATATGGCAAATAAATCTGGCCCATCGACTTCCTAATCAGCGATGATAGTGGATATCAAGTAAAAAATCAACAAAATTAATTTAGACTGAACCTTTTTTCAGGGTGAAACGCCTTAAGAAAACATTTTACTTAAAGGGCAACTCTTCTGGCATCTAAACTCCAGCATGTGAACACTCAATCCAAAATAGCCTATTTGATAAATAATCAGGGGGAAAGAGTTTTTCACCCAACATAAATTAGCAACCTGTTCGCTGAATATTATAGGAAATTATATAATTTAAAATCTAATTCAGATATATTACAGCCCACAGAAGACAAAATTAGTTAAATTGATTCCGCTGATTATCAACAAAGATCAGGTAGGTTTTGTACAGGGTAGACAAGCACCAGACAGAACGAGGAGGTTTATCAGGTTTAAATCCAGAAATAGAAAGTATAGGGTTTGGTGAATCAATTCACAAGATATGATTATTTGCAGATGATACTATCTTGGCAATCAAAAACCCAAAACAGTCCTTAAAACACTTGAAAGATATACTGCATCAGTTTCGTGAGGTATAATTTTACAAACTTAATAAATCTAAAACACAGGCTCTTCCCTTTCACATTAGTCACTCACACCTTATGGTTTTAAAAAGTTCATATTTATACGATTGGAGAAATAGCATTAGCTTATGTAAAAATGTAACAAAAATGCATACTCATAATTTGAACGCGGAACAGGAGTTTCTGTTTCCTGTACCCGGTCGGACTGACAGGAAGGTGCACACTGAGCGTGCACCTTCCTATCACTCCGGCCGGCCACCGCGGATGGCAGAGCGGCTTGGCCACGCTACAGGGGAGGTGAGTACCAACTGCAGCCGCCTGAGCGCTCTGTCGGCTGCAGTATTTAAAGGGCCGGCGTATAATCCCTATTTTCGGGGAGAAAAAGTGCGTGTTATACGCCGATAAATACGGTAGATAACTTTTTTCATGGTAATGCCGTGCTGTCTTTTGATAAATTAAAATTCAAGCATGGTTTACCGGATGAATCTTAATTGAACTGTTTAGTGATCATAAACAAGCTGAAATAATTATTAAATGTTCCAGAAACAGATAAAATGTATACAATACTTGAACTTTCAACTCTGGAAAAGGTTTTTCTGCATGATCCAGGATGAAAAGGCATAATTTCTCTGTGTTACTTAGTTTCTAATGTTAAACTTTCAGACAAGTTGAGACACATGCTATCGTGGGAGACAGAGTTCTATACACAATATTGTTTGAAAGAATGTTTTTGGTTTTTTTAACGCACTTA